ATGAAAGGTTCAATCCATGTTCAAAATAAACATAAAGTCCCGTAAGGTTGACACTATTCAATCCGCGCGTAATGTATCTCGGCCTTAATTATCAACCATATTCTTCCACGCTCATCTATGTGGTCCAAGATTGGCGTTGTGTAACGATGTGTTCAGTATGCGGCTTGTGTTGTGGTGTCGTCTGCGTGCCTTTTCTTATTGTGAAATTGTCTTACTAAAGTCCAGCAGACGCTAAACGGAAAGCCTGTCATGTTCGAGCTTGTCATTTGATTACGAAATCGTGACGAAGCACTTAACTTTTTTAGAATAAATAACTAGTACTCCCAATGGGTAATCAGAATTTTCGATTCAATGCACAGACATGATTTATCCAAATGGCATGGATGGGGTTTGCATTAATTTGCTTTCTGACGTGACCTATATATACGCGCTGTCATGCACAGATATCAGATGGCTAGTGTAATGTGGGTGCAGCATTTCACATATTCTTCATCTCACCAGTGGTCTTTCATCACTGCAGCTGTTCTTCGTCGCTGCACTTGTGCTTGATCACTGCACTTGTGCTTGATCAGTGCACTTGTGCTTGATCAGTGCACTTGTGCTTGATCACTGCACTTGTGCTTGATCACTGCACTTGTGCTTCATCACCGCACTTGTGCTTGATCCTGTCTCTTATACACNTCACCGCACTTGTGCTTGATCAGTGCACTTGTGATTCATCACCGCACTTGTGCTTGATCAGTGCACTTGTGATTCATCACTGCACTTGTGCTTGATCAGTTCAATAGTCTCTGGATGCTTCCCATGAATAAGCTGTGTAGTGGAATTATAGGCGCTGTGGCCCCGCCGTGTTCCCGGTTGGTGATCACAGCTCCTGCATGAGAATTGCCTCGTGAGGGACGCTTCCTCAGCTCACATACCCGTTAGAGGAACAACTTCCTAATAATTCACACCAAAACTGTTTTGAGGCTACTAATCCAACCTCAACCTCAACTTCACGCCGTTCACTCGTGCCCGACGAGGGAAATTTCAACGCGTTATCTTGTGTGAAATAAATCATGTCAATCTTATATATTATGGTAATTAAAGCTCCCAGTTCAGGTCTGTTCAATGTTCAGCCATCTTTTTGTTTTCGTTGTGAACTTCTGGCAATTTTTCTTCGCTCAAAATAGTGTGGTATTTTTTCGCTCTAAGTGTCCTTCTCCAAGTTGTTGCTTTGAGTGACCTTCACACCGAGTGTGTCGCACATTGAAATATTATTCCTAACTTAAATTAGAACTGCAGGCTCGCGAATTTGATGTCAGTATAACTGATTTACTAGCATTTTAGTATACTGACATTTAACGGGAGTCCCTGAACCAGCTTTGGCGCGCCGTCCGCATGCATGTTCTGTCCTTCGTCCCTGCATTCTTGTGGCGGAGACAAAACTAGGTATCCTCGTGAACTCGTAATCCGGTTTTAGTAGGGCGAGCGGTGCGGCAGCGGTATGCTTGGGCATCATAGGTTTTATTATGCAGTTCTAGCGGCCTCAGGTACGAAGGACACAGTTACGTGCTGCGTAGATTCTGGTGGATGCATATTTAATACGTGTGATATATGGTATGTTATACATGATGCGTCATTCTATGTTATACATGATGTGTCGTTTTATTTTATACATAATGGACCATCTTTAACTGTCAACCTGGTTACCTGAAACTGTCTGTCCTAAATGAGTTAGGTATGTTCATTCTGCTGGTGTTGCGTATCGGAGAAATTCTTGTTTCTGTAGGAATAAAGTAAGCGTCTAAATATGGCTTGGTTTTAGCAAAATTGTCTTTTGTTTATTGTAACTTTTTTAGAATCATTTGTACGAATAATAATGCACAACATTCGAATATCCTACATCCACGCGCTCTTTTTATTGCCCATTTTATTATTAAATTTGAAAAAATTCGATCAAATTGTGAAACTCACATAGAGATTGTAAAGGTTTACTGTTGAAGATTGCTTAGCACGTGTGCATGATGATTGCTGACGCATCAATTTTTTTTCTGAGCTTGTAAACTTGACTTGTGCTGACGTATTTGCTGACGTTCGTTGTTTGTGTAATCGGGACTCGTGCGCCGGACGCTGAGCAGATTGTGTTGACAAACTCTGGCTCGATTGATGTTCATGCCATATACTCAGTAGTGTGATGGCTAATAATGCAATTACATTGAGGTAACGTGTCACTTGTCTTTACATAAGTTATCCCGTTATCCCCGCATCTCGTTTTCGTGTGAAGCTGCCAACTTTGGCACGAGTTGCGTTAGTGGCGCAGTGCGGCATGAGATTCTGCATGTGTCTCGCTGGCGCTGCCACCTGCTGCCGTCCTCCCTACTGATAATAAGAGCTCAATATGCGTCGGCCAAAAATAAATCGCCCCTGATTTTCCAATTATGAAGACAGGGCGTGACGCTGCTGCAGCTTGGCTGCAGTGCACTCAGATCACGTCGTACCCTTACCTCAGTGCTCCATATTTTATTAGAGCTTTACCAATATTTTATTCACTTAGAAAATGTGAAAATTTATTTGGCATTCGAATTAAATGAAGAATTTATTTTCAATTTGTTGAGAACGTGATTCCCATGTTGATCAAGGGATAACCGATTGCGAATACGGATTTCGTCACGTTTTAACGTCGCGGTTGGCCCGCATATCAGTCGTTTGCCATCAGGTGCCCGAGCAGTCGGAGGGTGTCGAAGTTTCTGGATGTGTACAGGGCTTTATTGGTGCGTATTTTTAAGCGACCATTGATATTTTTAGGCCCAGTCAGTACTTCGCGTCACTCAGAAGCCGCAATGTGACGAGTTTCGTGCAGTTGGTGGCGCGCGATGGGCGCAGTTTTGATACAGTGCGTCTCGTTAAAACTATATTTTGTGACCGTTTGACGAAGCGCTGAGGCTTTGCCGCGCGTTTCTTGAAGTGCGAGTTTTTTGGCGGTTGCCAGTGCTGCCTAACTATGGAGGATACAGTTTCTTTCCCCCTCATTGATTTCGTAAGTTTTGATTGGTGGTCCGTCCAACGCTAGCACTATTATTCGTTTGCTTTTTAAATTTCGCTGTAATTATTATTCACGAATATTTGCTTTATGCCACATTCATTGGCTGTGACTCGAGGAAGAAGGTCTCGAGTTTTATTATTCTTTTTGTTCTCCCGTGTAAATCGCTCTTTTAATCGGTTTTTTCTTGATATATTTTACATTACGGCGTTTAAAGATATTTTGAACGGCGACAAAAACTATTTTCAAGTTATTTTAAAGTGCGTTTTTACTAAGCAACTGTTCATTGATATATTCGTATTTTTTTCTTCTTATTCTTATTTAATAGCTATAGCCTAATTATCAGTCAACTAATTAAATCTTGTCATGAACTAATTCATATTCTTATTGGTCTATTATAACTCAATTGATTTGTTGATATTTTTGTAGTATACATTTTTGTCCTCCTAACGTTTTTTTATTCTGTTTGAAGTAGGTACCTCCTGTGACACAGTGGCACACATGCCAGGGCGGATAATGCCCGTAGATTAGTTTTGACTCGCGCTGCGCATTGGCTGCATATAATTCGCTTCACTTGCCCTGCAGTGCTATTGCTGAATCCTAATATTATTTAATATACATTTTTTAATGCTTGACGTGTTTACTTTTCTCTTTCGGGATCTCACTTTCATTGATATTTACGTTAATTTATAGTATAAGTATCTTTTTGCCATTATGTTTGAAGTGTTCATGAGAGAGAAATGCACGTATGGTCGTTGGTAAGGATAGCTGACGATATATATAGCGTATAGGTATCCGCTGACTCTCGTATATCCACTGACGTGGCACAGGCTCAGAGCAAGGCACGCTAACCAGTAACCATGCCTATATCTCTCTCATAATGAATAATGTGTATAGACATTTTGTGGAAACGTGAGCGATCATTAGGATTATTTGACCGCATAAATGCCAACTTAATCTAGAACTCAATTTCAGTTTACTTCACACCATTTCCATGCTTGTTATGTTTATCATTGATGTTATTCATTCAAGTTGCATCATACAAGTGCTATTCGCAGTACCTAAGTTTCCTCTATTTTTCAGAGACTATGCATTGAAAAGTGCATAGTGACCTCATTGAATTGCATCTTTTTTTGTTTACAAATTGATCGCTTAACGTTTCAATTCAATCTTGAACTCGTATTTCTATGCTGTATAAGGTCTATCAATCGTATAGATTTAGCTTGAACATCAACTGTCGTAAAATTTTCATCCTTTCAATTTAAAATGTCCTCCAATTTTGATCATTGTAAAAGTGCCTAGACTTCAACTCCCAGTTTTTCTAACGTGTCCACCATTATTCACTGGGTCATTAAACCTTTTACATTCAAGAATTTCATTGATTTAGACTGGATCTTTGATCGGTCTCCTTACTATGACATTCCTACCAAATCACTTCAGACGGTGGCTTCTAGATCGCTTCAACTCATTAGTGATAACAGCTTAAATCGCTTACAGCCTGCTAATTATCGGCCCTGCATACTTACTTCACAATTCTTGCCACGGTCCGGATCAACCGGCTCCGACACCGTCGCTAATGTGTCGATGTTGGCAGGAAATGCCGGATTAATCTGTTCACGCTATCTAGCGTCGACTTGATCTCATCATAATTTGCGACAAGCAGCGAAATGTTATTGGCCAAAGCCAAATACATCGAGGAGAAATGTTTCAAACTCGGCGGTATTAAAACTTTTGCTTGCCGGGCACTTCAGTTGGCGATATGGCTTTCAGACATGTATTAGTCGACATGGATTAAGTCGTTGTGCGGTAACAGTTGGATTGTGTGTGACGGGTAGTATGTAGTATCCCACCAAAGTATTATGGATATATAAAAATATATTGCCTAGCCAGAAAGTTGTGTAAAATGTTTTTTTATTCAATTGTTAGCTATAAATAATATAAATTTTAACAATGTAGTTATGAAGATTTGGTTGTGTAGGGTGCATCAGAAGGTGACGCTGAGTACGACCAGTCAGGAGGTGCTGGGGCAGGACGCGCGGGCGGCGAGGACGGCATCAGCGGCCCGGCAGTGGGCGCCGACGGTCACCTCCTTCAGGCACACGATGGGCGAGTCTTCGTCGAGAGTGCCGAGGAGCCGGAGACCGAGAGCAGCCTCGCCATTCTCATGCAGGTGGCTATTAGGTGCTCTTCGTATTATATTATATTATATTATATTATATTATATTATATAGTATATTATATTATATTATCTTATTACATTATATTATATTATTATGACTATATTATTTGCATAAATTTCTTATTTATCTTTATCTTTCTTGCTTAACGATATCATATTACCGGCATTAACCCTACCTTGTCTTTTTAGCTCATCTACTTTTGATAAATGTAAGCATTCTGATGAGGTCCTCATTTGTACAGGTGATGCTGCCTTTCCTCGTGGCAGGCCTGGGCATGGTGGGTGCTGGACTCGTGCTCGACATTGTACAGGTGAGAACAAATTCTCATAGGTATATAGTATTACGGTACGCATTTTAGTTGTTCTACATTATTTAATTTTCGACCAATGTTAGCGTGTTCATTTGAAAACCAGTAATACCGTATTGAATTTTTTGGATTATTCCATTTCAACAGGTCTTGATGAATAGTAGATTCAACAGTTTCCTAATTATTAAAAACCATTTTTCCGCGAATGATGTAAATTAGGATTGCATTTGCAGGGATGCCCGTAATACCATTTATTGCTTTTTATGTCGCTATACGTCCGTCAGTCTTCATGGAGAAATTCCTTGACATTCATCGCCTGCTCTTTGACCTTTTGTGAAGTTTCCTAGAGTACGAATATGTACATGTTTTTATGTCCTGGCTCTTCCTTGTGCGTGCAGTTGCTCTTTTAGTGCTTGTCATCGAATAGTGACGCAGCATCCGTTTAGCAGAGAAATAAATTATGTATTTACACGTGTGAAATTGACTCGCAACTGCTCAATTTAATACGTAGAAAGTACATCAAACAGAGCGGGCATTGTGAGTGAGTTTTCTCTACCCTGGTGCTGTACGGAATCCGTGCGTCTCGTTAGCACTTTTTTTAACTTAGCTTTTTGAACGCCACAAGATACTAAAAAAATGCGGCTCTGTAAGAAGAGCTAAGGAATGTACTCTGTTAGCACTCACAAGACTGATGTACTAAGCTGCAATAATGTGTTGCAGCACTGGGACGTATTCTTAGAAGTTAGCGAGCTGTTCATCATGGTGCCTGCCTTGCTGGGTCTCAAAGGCAACTTAGAGATGACGTTAGCATCGCGCCTCTCCACCCACGCCAACATGGGACATCTCGACAAGGCTGACGATTGCATCTCCATGATTGCTGGCAATCTCGCTCTCATTCAGGTCTGTTCATTTTGCTCTCATTCTCCTGCAACTTGCCATAATTTTTATTTCATTTCCATCTATTGTTTGCAAAGATTCTCGCAAATTTTCAAGCAATCGTTATTTCATCAAAACTATTCGTGTCGATTTGTTAATGACGATCGTCTTTCCTTCCCCCTCCTGTTTATTATTCATATTAAAGTACACGTAGCAAATTTTTTGATTACTTGAGAGCATTTCCGTGATCAAATATCATATAATTTCCTGGAATTACCGTAATTATCGAAACGGAATTACCGTTTCGATAGTGAATCCTTCACTATCGAAAACACTCATACATACGTTTAAATTCAGGTTTTGCTTTCTTTTTCCAAAATTTTGAGAATTAATCATGAATTGTACTGACCGCGGTGCAGTGTCAGGCGATCGTGGTAGGCTTCCTGGCGAGCGTGGCGGCCGTCATCATGGGCTGGATCCCTGGAGGAGAATTTAATTTCCTGCACGCGCTCCTGCTGTGCGCCGGGGCGCTCGTCACAGCCTCCTTCGCCTCCTTCATACTGGGTGCGTACGATTACTTATTGGTCGAAATAATTTTGTATTTTGCATTCCCCGTGAGCAAATATCATATATATATCAAATATATATATCATATGATAGAATATATATATATATCATATGATAGAATATATATATCATATCATAGATTTGATATATCATATATATATCATTACTTGTACGATTACTTATTGGTCGAAATATTTCTCTGGAATTGTTTATTGGAATTGTAATACATTGGTTCAAATATCTTTTTATTGAGGATATTCTCATCTATTGTGTTTTTTTTTCACAGTTTCCCTAACTGTTTGAGTACGCTGCTCAATACGTACTCTAAAATTCGGTACATTTTCAAGGACGGCAAATTGTTTTGTGTGAAATTGCATTCATATTTAAGATATTTAAGTTATTCGCTGTTGAACTAGTCGCTGAATTGTATTTGCTAATAACGGAGTTGAGGTTTGTCTGAAGTTACATGCATATTTAACTTATTCGCTTTAGAAATAGTTGCCGAATACCTGATTGTATTCTCTAATAACGTGGTTGAGGCTTGTGTGGCAGGCTTGGTGATGGTGGCCGTGATCCTGGTGTCACGGAGATGCCGCATCAACCCAGACAACGTAGCAACACCCATCGCGGCCTCTCTCGGGGACCTCACCACCCTCGGCCTCCTCGCCTGGATTGCCTCACTGCTATTCGAAGCCAGATGTGAGTCCAGCCAGTCAGTGGGCCTGTAGTCAGGTATAATAAATGATGAAATTCAGTTGTACGTTTCAGCTGATCTATAATTGGTGGAATGAAGGCCTTTTCGGACAAAGCCCGATGTGAGTCCAGCCAGTCAATGGGCCTGTAGTCAGGTATAAATGATTAAATTCGGTTATACGTTTCAGCTGATGGATAATTATTGAAATGAAGGCCTTTTCAGACAAAGCCCGATGTGAGTCCAGCCCGTCTATGGGCCTGTAGTCAGGTATAAGTGATGACATTCACTCCTAATTTTCATCTGCTCTATAATTGGTGGAATGAAGGCCTTTTCAGTCAAAGCCCGATCTGCGTCTATCTCGTCAATTACCTAATAGTCAATAGTCACGTCTAAATTATGAAATTCAGTTATACCTTTTAATTAGTGTGATAGATGTGAGTGATATGAAGGACTCTTCAGTTGAAGCCTGATGAGCGTTTTTCCCGTCAACGGCTGAAGCATCCTAGTCAGGTCTAAATTTTGTATTTTAGTATTGCCTATCAAATGGATAACTATGTCATTTGCATATTTGTTACGAAAATTTACCAATATTTTGACGTTATTCGATTGAAACTACAATTTAGTGAGAGAGAGTGTAAATTTCTTATGTTTACAAGCCAAGCAGATTGGCTAAGATTGAGTGAGTAATGGCAACGCTTTTTTTCATTATAAAAAGCTGCTTCATATTTTGTTTATTTTGTGCGTCCTTCGTTCATGACGCACGAATACTTGTTGAGGAAAGTGACACGTCTTAATTCACCTAATTCAATCAACCTTAGCAAGCTGTTTTATTTGGTTATTTCAATTTTTTAAGACTATTGTAAGCATGCTTACATGTCTTCCAAGACTGGTGTTCTTATCACAATATTTCACCTAAATTTAACTTTCATTTGAGTCTTGTTCCCGTATCCCCCAGCGTCGGAGTTGTGGCTAGCGCCGCTGATCATCGGAGCGTACCTATTGTCTCTGCCGCTGTGGGTTTGGCTCGCCTCCCGCAACGAGCACACGAAGGAGGTCCTCTACTCGGGATGGACTCCTGTCATCTCCGCCATGATGATCTCAAGGTCATGATCGTTTAAGGATTCGCCTTCGCAGTTTATATATTTACTTGCAGTTAAGTCTGAGTAGTCAGTAGTGTGTCATATTATCTGCGATCTTCATCACCAGGCTGTACCAATTAACATTATAACGTGAAAATCCCGGTAGTTTCTTTCCCAGCAGTCATGGCAGATTTATTCATTTATAATCCTTTTTTTCTCATTTAAGCAAATTTCATTGTTTGTTTCATTTGTATTTTCTGAACATACATGACTCTTTTGATTAAATTCAGTTGAGTTTACTGACGCAGCGATTTTATTACCACAGCATGGGTGGGGTGATCCTAGACTACACAGTGTCTTCATACAAGGGCATCGCGGTCTACCAGCCCGTGATCAACGGCGTGGGCGGCAACCTGGTCGCTGTGCAGGCGTCACGCATCTCAACGGCCTTGCATCTGGCCACGCCTCTAGGGCGTCTGCCCCGCTACGCCGAGCGTCTCTGCCACAACCCCTGGACCGTCTTCTGCACCAGCAAAGGACACGCCAGGACCGCCAGGGTGCTGCTCCTGCTCGTCGTGCCCGGCCACTTGGTGTTCGCGTACACCATCAGCTACCTCAAGGCTGGACACACGTCGCTCACGCCCATATTCGTCGTCGTCTACCTTTGCGCTGCGCTTATTCAAGTGAGCTTACATCAATTTACTACGTATATTTTAAACGGGACCATTATTTAGTTTGAAATATTATATGCTATACATTTATTTTCTACAGTTTATTCGCTTTCTTATTGTCAACTGTGTACATTTTCTTGCTTGACCGATGCTCAAGTTGTATCTATTGCTTATTTGTATCCCATAAGTTTTGTGTGGTTCTGCCCTGTTATGGATGAAAATTCTGGCACTAATTTACTGTTTATTCAAGGTTTTTAATCCGATTCGATGGTGGCCTGCAAACACATTTGGGAGCATTAGGCGCCATAATCTGAATGCGTTATCATTGATTAAAAAATAACAAAAAACATGATCTTCAAATGTATTTGTATAAAATGTACGTGACAATGTCAAATGTCGTGACTCAATTTATCCAAGCGAACACAAGTAAACTGAATAATAATGTTGATACAAGTGATGAAATTGTTAGTAAGTTTTATATTGTTTTGCAGGTGATCGTGTTGCTGTACATGTCAGTGGTGATGGTGCACTGGATGTGGAGTGTATGCATCGACCCTGACAACTCAGCCATTCCTTACCTGACCGCATGCGGGGACCTACTGGGCACCGGCCTCCTGGCGATCGCCTTCCACATCCTCTACCTCGTCGGCGACAAGGATGCGGATTTGGGCGACTAACGAACCTTCTTCCGCGTGCCGCTCGTATGAAATACACCAAAAAATAATTGCGATTGCAGTGAAGTGAACCCGTTACTTAATAATGATTTACGTATTCGAACTTCTCTTGCCAGTGTCTGTCATGGAACACACCCAGTTTATCAGCTTCAATTGAATTTATTCAACTGCTAAATCACCTAAGATTTAATGGTTTAAGACTTACAATTCTGTGACTTACAATTATTCTGTGAGGTCCGAACCCACTTTGCCGGCCCACAATGAGGCTGTTGCTCCTGGTTGGATCAAGAGGAGCGACTTCTCTATAGTTTGAAGTGAAAATTTCATGAAAAATTTGTGATTCCAATAAACTTATACAACCTGAGTAGGACCTCGCTTCACGGCCGTGACTTAAGATCACCAAAGTTAGTGATAAGATTTTCAGTTCTTCCTTATCAAAAGATTGTGAGCATTTGGAACCGTAGACAGTGCGTGCGGTTGAAAAAAAAGTGTGAAAAATAAATGTACTGATGACGACGAGGCCTTACGTTTCTATTCCAAATGATGTGCTAATTATTGTGCTTGCATTTGTTGCTCATTTAAGATACTGGAATGGATTGCACGTCAGAATTTTGTTGTTGCCACAAAATTCTGCGGTATTTCAAACTGTTCCAAACGTTGTAGTCGTGCAGATAGAGTGAACTTTTGCAGACGACGGCTTAGTTCTATCTTTCACATTTGATATTATTCTTTTACTGGAATGTTTTTAACGTTTATAAATGGAATGTTAGTGTGAAAAGAGATGTAACTCAGATAGCTTGTACAACAACAATGTATTTGATGTCATATATGTTCTGGGTGCTCGATTCATTCGTTCTCCAAAAAATATGAATTTGCAGTTTCAATTATCTGCCCGTACTGCAGTTCTGAAGCGTTAGTGGTGGATAAACATTGCTACGCTGCTTTCGGATTTTCAAAAGTTATTCGGCACTGAATTTTTGCAATGGCTTCTTCGTTGTACATTAAATCAAAATTATTACACCTTTGTTTAGGCGCATTGATATTGAATTGGTTAGGCAAGCAATTCCGTGTTTTATGTCTGGTGAAGGTTCTTAAGACGTGTAGTTTGATCAATTGGACTTAATATGATTGCTTAATAATATGACTGTTGTAAACTGAAAATCTGGCTCTTTAAGAATATTTTCTATTGAATTTCCGCTTTTGAGATTACAGTAAAAATCTTATGTCTTTTTCCGTGTAAAACATTTATTGATCTTGAGGATATTTTAATCCAGTTCAATGGACGCTCGATCTCTTTGTTTATGCTGGTTGAGCTTATCACGACGTGCACCAACCTCCAGCCGAGCCACAGCACTAAAAGTATTCACGATAACAACATGGTAATATTATTGTGGCTTATGAGTGTTAGCCACAATCGATTTTTTAATAATGAAACGTGGATATTTCACGGACTGTAGTGCGAGTTTCATTGCGACTCCACAATTGAATTCGTTATAAGTGAAAATCTTCGTTCTTCCAGTGACGTGTTGCGTCATTTAGATAATAAACTTTGATCTCTTAGTGAAATGTCTTCATGCGTGAAGACATTTACCATATTTTACATTTACAAATTACCATATTTCATGAGATTGTTTGGACGCAGAACGCGCTCGAAGAAAAGGTGAATTAAAAGTTATCAACTTTGAAGAAGATCTGCTGTAAGATAAATCGTTAGCTTCAGATGCCTCTAGACTATCACGATTTCACGGTGAAATACACACGTGTTTGCTTCGCTGAGTTCGCTCAGCTGCTTACGTTTTTATCCACAGTTTACTTGATAATTTTAACGTTCACTGGAGTGATTTTCTATATTATTTTTTCGATTTTTTTTGAAGCAACATTTAAAGCTTTAAGAGTCAATGTGTCTCATAAATGTCATAAGTTTTTCTTCCCTCAATTCTCTTGTGTTCAATTCATATGCAAATAATTATGTCATGAGAAGTTTGTGTGAACTTTCAATTAGCCTCAAGTTATTAGGTTTTTCTGGGAGAAAGCATTTTTGATTGTTATGCTGCTGTTGAGTACACCAACTTGTTTGAAATGTGATTATTTGTCCAATTGCTTCGTACTTTAATTTCCATCGATGGAAGCTTGTGAAACACAGTGCGTTGTGTGGCAGTAGTCAACATGGTTGTTCCTAACGCGTCTCGCGTTTAAACTTCCTTCCAATTTACTTTACTTACCACGCTTAAACGACATTAGTTATTCACGATTTAAGTAATTAATGATTATTTAATCGATTTATGCATTTGGAATTTTAAAACAATTCTGTTTGTTTGTATGAATTCTCTGGATTCTTTTCATGGAATATCTAACTACTTACTTTTCTACGTTATACTTCCATTTTCAATAAGAATTAGAATGATGCTGACGAAATTTGTTCGTCGACATGCCAAATATTTATTCCTGTATGTGAGGAGAGCATTTGTGTACGTAGCCTTGCTTAAAGCTAAAATATTTACATACTTAATCATTGAATTATCTCACATGTCACTCATGTTGATTTTTTATTTTATCATTGTCCGTCTGTTACTGCGTTTTATAAAGAGTTTCCTTCATACGCTGTCTTGCCATGTTTTAAATCTGGTTTGCCCGTCAATCATGTCATGTTCACAGTTACCTCCTCCTGTCTATCAAGTCATATTCACATTCTCCGCTTCTTGTCTTGTAGGTCTTGCTTACAGTCCTCTTCTCCCATCATCAGGTCATGCTACTAGTCCCCATCTAGCCTCATCAGGTTATGCTTATACTCCTCTTTGAGGTGTCATCCCCAGAACAGCATGTGCACGTGGTCTGACTAATCGTTATCTCGCTTTTCTTCATTTGGAGTCAATCGCGCTCATGACAGGTTCCAGCAATCCCAACATTAAGCGACGCACGAGCCACTTTCGTGTGGTCTGTCCAAGTTCTCGCAATTTATTGTCTTGTGTTATAAAACTTACTTGCATAGATGAAATATACTGAATGGAGTATTTTAGTTTTAAGTCTTCTCCATGACTTCTTTAACAGAATTAACATGGTATTTGTTGTGTGAAATGAATAATTTGGTTGAAGAAGCAGTTTGTGTCTTGTTATGTTACATTTCATTCCGACGTTTCATGTCTAGTTATCAGAACTGCTAGGCTGTCGAGTCACGAATACTTGGCAGAAATCGCTGTCAAAATATTGTTAGTAAATTTCCGTCAAAAATAACTTATCGTATACTTGATTGGTTGGGTCAGAGTTACGATTATGGTTATATTGAAATGAGATCTTCCGTTAATGTAATGAACTTATTGCATTGACTTATTGATTAACTTTTTGTTATTGATGTTGTTTCCATCGTTACTTCAAAAACTATAATAAGAAAAAAAGAACTTATCATTCATAGTTTCTTTCTTGAACGATAAAACTCTACTTAAGTGTTGAAAATTCAAATAGTGCAAGACAAATACGAAGTGATTTTGTCGAGCGATTGCGTGATCAATGCATTATGAACCAGGCATTGAAGAATCTGCTTCGTTGCCTTCTATGTTTAATTGAACACTACTTACGGAACAGTTGTTGAAATGTGCTTGCCAGATGAAGATGATTATTTAATATAATGAAAATTGTGACGATTTGTGTTTCATCTCCTTGTTTGCGAAGACTGCAAATTTAGGTTTATTTCAGATTTTATCTGAGTCATTGAATACAGCTCGTCAGGTAGTGCCTTAATAAGCCGCCGGAAAGTATGTTATGTCATTTACACGATGTGCATTAATCGAGTCATATTTAAAAGGGGAAGAATAATCGTTGAAATAAGGTAGCTTCTATTGGATTTTTGTTTTCACCGAATCACTATTGGCTGCAGTCTCTGGAAGAGATTTGAATCTTAGCCTAACTTAGATGAGCCAGCTGAAGTTTCTTAGCCCTAAATAGTGAATTTGATCTCGAGAGACCGCAGTTTTTTTGGAAGCCGTAACAATTCGGCCGTACTAGCAATTACTGCAAATAGTGAATTCAATCACTAAGCAGTTTTAAACTTATTTGAGTACCTTTACAAATTCTAGATAAAATAAGTGAAGATATTTCTGTGTTTTACATAATTTCAAGCAGAAGTTAGTTCGATATTTATTCCTTCTAATATTCCGTAGTACCGGCATGATCCGTGTTTAGTTAGCTTCAAGTCAGGTTGTGGTGACGTGAAGTCTCTGTTGTCGTGTTGGCAGCGGCAGCCTAGCAGTAGCAGCCAGCAGGCAGCTAACTTTGGCATAGAGGAAAATACAGTTATTTCTTCAGAGGTTTAGCCTAGTATCATTGAACTTAATTAAATCGCACAATGTTGAAGGCAGTTATACTCCTCGGTGGACCTCAAAAAGGTAAGATTTATCAATATTATGGCTTTGAAACGATTCGAAAAAAATTTAAAGATGTGTCAATAAATGCTTTTACTCTGCTGACTGCTCTTATCGACTTATGTCTTATGTGTCCATGTGGACAATTTTTGTCAACAAGAGTACATGACTTTTTCATTTAGTAGGTATGTTAAAAAAATTTTTTCCTATGATCTTAATGAAAATTAGGGTAAACGCACCATATTCCGACATCGTGGGTAATTCCGACACTTCTCAACTTATTCCTTTATATTAAGCTTTGTCTTAGGGTAAACGCGGTATATTCCGACACTTTAAGGACGCATCAAGAAATGAAAAACTACAAAAAAGCCGTATGCATTACGTAAGTTCTGTTGCCTTCACATGACTCTCAGTCAGAGTGGAAATCTAAGATTAGAGGTTCACTTAAAAAAAAGCATTCTGCCTTGAAAAAAAAATGTTCCAGGCAAGTGGCAACTAGAAACAGGTTTGCAGGTCGTCAGAAATCGGCCTCGGCAGTCGGCATGAACGTTACGTCAGGCAACACAGAGAAAATCCCAATATTGTTAATTGTGCGCATCACTCACGGATAAGCAAGAGGAATCTACTGAAAGACACGTTGTGCTCAGTAGAACACGTTATGCTCAGAAGTTACAAGGTCGCTTCTGACACCAGTAGAAACTCATCACTCACAGTCACCGATGAGCAAGGAAGATCTTGGGAAGGCTGCATAAGCTTTGCGCCCCACATGAACGTTTCCGAGGTCGCCAGTAGAGACGCGTCACTCTCCGGTGAGCAAAGGATATCTTGAGGAGGCCTCACAACGTTGCAGCCGGTAAAGGATGTACTCTTGATTCTGAAAAAAGTTCCATTAGATCTTGCCGATATACTTGAATGCAAAAGTCGCCTATATACGAGTTGATTAAGAGCACTTGATGTATTAGTTGTTCAGAGTTTGACCAGTTGATTCAGAGCACACCNTGTTACCCCAAATAACTAATTTTACCCTAAAAACAGTCCGGTTGTAAAGCAAGTGTCAACTGAACAAGTAATAAAGCAGTCTGACCGCTCTAATGCGACCGAAACTACGCAATCGAAAAAATGTTGTTTACATTTTTTGCGGGAACTCATCGCAACTGATTTCCGGACTAGCTTCGCTGCATCGTAATCCATCCAACATACCGGAAACCTTACTTTTTTTCTAAATAGTTGGCTGAAGACTGAGAAATATATTAAATGCAAGAATTTCAATCTAAATGTGTCGGCAAGATCTTCTGAAGGCAAAAATTTTGCCGATAATGCGTCGCCGTAGGTCTTTAAATCTTCGTTCACTCTCTGCACAGTGGCTCAGAGCAAAAGACCAAGTCAACTAGTGAGAACATTGAAAGTCCACCCCTCTCTTGACCCACCTCTCACTGATAGCGACATCGATTCACATCTTTTTCGAAGCATGTGTCAAAGTTGATAGTTGACCTTGCTCTACCAAATAGTGATAAACTGTTTGGGTAGAAAGAATACTATGGTTTGAGACTTTTAAATGTCTCTGGACTCTGAATATATTAGGAATCCTTTAAGCATACTTGTATTTGCTGATTTTAAGTGGTAAATAAATTAATAGATGATTAAGTTAGGAGACGGTTTTAGACACATAAAAACTAATTCCGACAGCTTGGAATTGGACACACACAGCTTGTTCTGAGCTGTGTTCAAAAATTAAAATTTTCTTAATTAAAAGCTTAATAGCTCTTAATCGAAAGCTTAATTGAGAAATTAAAATTTTTAAATTAAGCTCGTTCCGAGCTGTGTCGTATTCCGATACAGCTCACACAAGGCGTGGGCAGTGTCGTATTCCGATACAGCTCACACAGGGCGTGGGCATCGGAATTCCAACACAGGGCGTCGGAATTATGAATCAGTAAGAGTCTGAAGTGCTGTTGGAATTAGACTCACAATATGCCTAATTTAGTCACACACAGCGTCGGAATTCAGGGATTTGTAGATTTAAATTCTAAAGGTTTTTAAATAAAAATGGCAACAGTTTGTGACGTTTCATTGTTGCTGGCGCGTAGTGTGGTGTTTCAAGAGTGACGTAAAGCAATCAGAAATTCAGAACTGGAGTTGAGCATACGGTGATCTTTTTATAGCCATTCATTTCTTGGTATGTCCTTAAAGTGTTGTAATAAGGTGTGTTTACCCTATACAGCTGAAAAGAGAAATGAATTTTAAAAGATGTATATACAAGTGGAATACAAATAAAAGTAAAAAGCTATAAATTTTTACCTTTATCAAATTACATTTTAAAAAGGACAAATGTATGACACTTTTTGGGGGATGAACCTATCATTCCTAAGTTTCCTGTGAGCCAATTTATGATTGAACTAAATTCACATAGGAACATTTGACATTTCTGAGATAACATGATTTCCAAATTTATTTTTTATTTAAAAAATATCTAGTTTTGATGAAACTGAAAAGGATTATTGGATCAGAATTTTTAATATGATATGCAAATTGGTAGGTGTTTAATTAGTAATAGGATATGGTATTATTGGATTCAAAATGATGGTACTTGCAATGACACAATTTTTGTATCATAGCATACAGCATATTGAATCATATAGATATGTTGAGAACTTAGATGCAATATTGTATGGTAATGGTAGCATTAAACTTGAGCATAGACCATGCCAGGAATAAAAATTAAATAAGAAAGCCTAGTGCAATGCTTCCTATCTTGACTAATAGAAACTGTGACCACTAACTACTGAATATTAATCTAGTATATAATCTTGACTAATAGAAACAGTGACCAGTATACAGTCTTGACTAATAGAAACTGCATGTATCTAGTCGTGTCAAAAAATCTCTGTTATGCCACTGTGCTCATGTCATGGGTTGGCTCTGACCAATTATAGTTAGGCTACCATCAATGTCACATCACAAGTCACCACTCAGCAGGGCTGAAACTGCACATACTTTGATGCTCATAGCCTCATAACTAGAAACCCTATAATATCAGCTCCAGGCCTGTAATATACCTACCATTCTTCCTTTTGAGCTGAAACTAGAGCAATCCTGCAGTTTTTGTTGCTGTGAGCTAAGATTCCTGCTAGATGAAGTACCACCTAACTCATTGTCATGGTGGCCAATGAGATATTTTTTAGAAACCAGTTCACTTCTGATTATCTGATCTACTTCAAGATTTGATTCAATATTATTTGTTTGTTAGTGCTGGACAATTTTTTATATGCATTACCATAACACTATGACAATTACTGTGAGATTTAATTAGTTTGTGTTTTTGGAGTTTTTAGAGATGTGTTAGATATTTTAGTATAACAATGATTTATTTGCAATCTCTACATTTTTTAGTGTAACCCATTGTTGTAGCTTGTTCACCATCGGAAGCTCTTCTTTTGGACTGGATAGATATATTTAAGATTTCTTAATAAATGATGAATTCTATTATTGTTATCATTGATTTATACATGTGCTGCTTGTAACTATTCACTGATTATTGCTTTCTATGGTCTTGAGTATGGAAGGTCTTGTTGACACTTTTTTTTTGCAGGCACTCGCTTCCGCCCATTGTCCCTAGACATTCCCAAGCCGCTATTCCCAGTGGCTGGACTCCCTACAGTCCAGCATCATATTGAGGCATTGGCTGCTGTGCCTGGTCTTAGAGAAATTCTCCTCATTGGTTTCTTTCCAGCCAACCAAATGGCTCAGTTTACTGCAGAAATGGCAAGCACATACAAAATTCGAACAAGGTATTTCTAATCAAGCATCAATGAATATTGACTAAGAGATAGAGAATTGGTACTAATTTATGAAATAAAAACTTTTGTATAAATAGTAATAATTAGAAGCTTAGAATAATTATATCAACAATAATGCCATCTGCTAGTTTTGCATTGAGGGACATGTTTCCCAATCAAATATACTGCGAACTATTTACTGTTATACTATATGCACAATTGTTTTCTGATATTGCTTTCTCTACAGATATTTGCAAGAGTATACAGCCTTGGGGACAGCTGGTGGCATTTACCATTTCCGGGATCAAATTCGGGCCGGAGGCGCCGATGCATTTTTCCTGATCAATGGCGATGTCTGTGGTGACTTTCCGCTTGAAGAAATGCTCAAATTCCATGAGTCTAGGGCTGGAAAGAATGCATTAGTTACCCTCTTGGCTACCGAGGCTACGAGACAGCAGTCCTGCATGTATGGGTGCATTGGTAAGCCTCAGTAAATAGTGCTTTTTGATCCCAGAAATTATTATGTCCTTGCTTCTTATTTGGATCTGTTCATTTGGAAATTTCTGGGGTCCCTACAATTCTTAGATATAAAATCAATGTAATGGCTCTTTTTTATTTTTGTTTTACAGTGGAGGATAAGGAGACCCACGAAGTTTTACATTATGTGGAGAAGCCATCAACATTTGTATCGACCCTCATCAACTGCGGTGTTTACATATGCTCTCCAGCCATCTTTCAGCTTCTGCAGAAACTCCATAACACAAAACAAGATTGTTATAAGTAAGTTATGTATTACTTATTTCCAGACAAAACAACACTAAATCTGCAAACATTTCTAGAGATACAAACCTCCCCCGCCATATTTTGAGCAAAACACTCCGGAAAAATTATATAATAACTTAGATATACATATACGGTATATATATTTTTGTCATATTTTTAGTCAGGTATTTGCTGATGGCTAATTAGTTGGTTGATGTCTCAGATACATCGAGTGTACATGGTAATTACATGGTACAATTGCAGGGATGACACGGACATCAGTGACGCCATACATCTGGAGGTGGATGTCTTGAAGCCGCTTGCTGGAACTGGGCAATCATTTGTCTACAGTTCTGACAGGTAGGGTTTCGATTGTCTCATGTACACCTCCTGCTCCCACTTATTATTCACTTTATTCATGAAAGTGAGATCCAATTAGATGGAAATTTTTAATTTTCTGGGACAGATTCTCATTAAATTCGAAAAATGCAATTCAGGTGAATTTTGTGATGCCACCTGAGATAATTACCCATAAAATATATTTTTATTGCGTAAGATGAATCAATTACGCGTGCCTAGATGGTGGTCTCAGATCAAAACAGCTGGGTCAGCAATCTATGCCAACCGTCACTACCTGCAACTGTACCGCCGCAACAAGCGCATGGACAGACTTGCCAACTCTTCCGTCTCACCTACCATCATTGGAGACGTCTTCGTCCATCCATCTGCCAGCATTCACCCAACCGCTGTGGTCAGCAGTTTCTTGTTCATTTTTTGTCTAATGGAGTTGATTCTATTCCCATTATTCTTATGCCTAATTTTACTTGAACAGCTACCCCTTAAAATATTTTGTTTTGTATTACATATAATCTTAGACTTTCAATTAGAATCTACTTGCCGAGTTTACAAAGAAGAGCCAGTGTACTTTTTAATTTGAAACCATTTTTGCATGAGCCACTTTTTTCTTCAGCTGGGACCAAATGTGAGCATCGGCAAGAATGTGAGTGTAGGTGCCGGTGTCCGTATCAAAGAAAGTATCATCCTGGGCAACGCCACTGTGCAGGAGCACAGTTGCATCCTGTATTCGTAAGTTTCATTCGTCAATGCACTAAGTGCAATTTTTACTATTTATTTTCCGCTATAATAGTATTGAGGTATTAGGCCATCATGTTGCAAACGAGGCGCCGTGTCCGGTTAGCAATTCTGTTATTAGCCCCTCCAGTCAGTTCATCTGTCCCTCCAGTCAGTTCAGCCCCTCCAGTCAGTTCATCAGCCCCTCCAGTCAGTTCATCTGCCCCTCCAGTCAGATCATCTGCCCCTCCAGTCAGATCATCTGCCCCTCCAGTCAGTTCATCTGCCCCTCCAGTCAGTTCATCTGCACATCCAGTCAGTTCATCTGCACCTTCAGTCAGTTCATCTGCCCCTCCAGTCAGTCCATCTGCCCCTCCAGTCAGTTCATCTGCCCCTCCAGTCAGTTCATCTGCCCCTCCAGTCAGTTCATCTGCCCCTCCAGTCAGTTCATCTGCCCCTCCAGTCAGTTCATCTGGTACCTGAATTTCCTTGATAAAAATTTATGGGCGACAAGCAATGAACGAAATTTTCGTTTCGCCAGGTGATAAACATTTTGTTGATAAGGCGCTACACGTGCAACATTGGAACTTGGATCTCTGTTGATGCGAGATTTGATAACTACCCAAGTACTTTATCTATGGTCCTGTAGATTACGGTATGTAGCCATTATGTGCAAAAATCTTAGTAAGTATAATTCAGAGTACAACTCCATTTTCATGAATTAATCTCTTAGATGAAACAACACAATTTTTAAATGATTCATGATATTGATGATGGTTATTTTGATACAGAATCGTGGGTTGGAACTCTACAGTAGGGAGTTGGTCACGCGTTGAAGGCACTCCATGCGACCCCAACCCCAACAAACCCTTCGCCAAGATGGACAATGTTCCGCTCTTCAACGTGGAGGGCAGACTCAACCCTTCCATTACGATTCTTGGCGAGTGTTAAGGAGAACCAACATAAAATCTGCATAGGCCATTAATACCTGGACTTGAATTATTTGGGTCGTGTGCTGTGGGCACGTTGATTTCCTTTGGCCAAACGCACGTCATTGTTCAATTAAGTTTCCAATTTTCGCCATGAGCATCGATATAGAGCCAGCGAGTGCGGTGTGTGTGGAGTATTGAATGATTTATGTTTAGTCATTTCGAGTTTCGATGTTGTGTATTTTTATGCGGACAGGAAGCGACGTTCGTGTATGCTGCGAGCTCGTCGTGCTCAATGCGATCGTACTCCCCTTCAAGGAACTCGACTCCAATACCAAAAACGCTATTGTACTGTGACGATCGAGCGACACGAGGTTCATAGTATTATCTGCTAACGCTTGCACCTGACCTGCCATGCAGCGTTGTGAGGAAAACGTGTTTTGCTTATCGATTGAAGCCTCGTTTTGAAAATACTGTTGATCCGTATATTTACCCTCCTTCAGTCCATATAACTAATCCTTTTAGATAGCTTAGTGCGCAATTCGTGGCACTTAATGTAAACGTTTCTTGGTGTGCATTTCGTTAATTATTAGAGACGTAACAGGAAGTAACTGTTCCACAAATGTGCGAACGATTGAAATGGTAAATGTATAGACACAAAAAGAAATATAGAACAAGCCACGTTAGGATCGTGGACGAACATAATGTAGACCTTGATCAGAAGATCCAAGAGTTTACTTTTGCGTGTATTTTTGGACTAACCGTCGTCAGCGTTAGTCTTACTCAAAGGCCAGGTAAGGACTGCTGCCGTCTGTAGACAGAGATTCCATTAGTGGAGCATAAAAATGGCTGCTCTTCAGTACATTGACGTGTACTCTATGGATTCATTTCTTTGCTTGATAATGATTTGATCAAGTTCATATGGATTGCTGCGTAACTTTGATGTTGCGTTTGTAACGTTCATATAGATTGCTGATTTTAGTTCCTTATTCCGTTGAGTTCATCATAGCACCCGAGTTCACTGACAGTATGCTTGGTGTTTTTTCTTCATTCATTTGGTTTTGCTACTTGAGATTTTTTCAGACGTTCTATCAACGCCTGTTCTCCTATTGGAAAACAGGCGTTAATATTGCTGAATGTTTGACAAATTGACTTCTTTCCATAAGCCTTGAAATTTCACTGAAAGGAATTTCTAGGTAACCTTTTCTTCGAAAGTTGCATGTATCTTTGCACAGCTGTGTCATCTGTTATAATTTATGTGAACAAGATTTTTCTCTTCTTGCAGGCTGCAATGTTTCTGTAGCGTCCGAGCTGTTGGTCTTGAATTCCATCGTACTGCCCCACAAGGATCTACCGCACAGCTACAAAAACGAAATCATTTTGTGAGAAGAGGCTTTGGTTCTGCCGGCAAGTGCTGACTGCTCTTGCAGCCAGTCGCACGAGATGACGATGCCCAGTTCTTGGATGTATTAGACGGCATTGTTTTCTAGAGGCTGCATTTTATTGTGATGAAGGCGTGAGATATGAAGATTACTGGTAGAAACTGCTCAACCTGAGCACAGATGTTGAATATAAAGACACGGGAGAACATAAATATTCCTCCTGCTGCTACGCTACTAGCAGTTTACCGTGACGTTGACTTCAATAGATTATTTCTGGAATGTGAGAATCTCATTTCAATAAAGTCTTCCTTGATTTGGTCAACAATTCTGACACTTGAGGATGTCAAATCAAGGACGAATTCGTTCAAACTCACATTTGGCTCAATTATTTCAGGCGTGTTTACAGATTCATCTTTTCAACTGTTAGCACAAGAACCTTCCAGTTACAGAATTAAAATGATGGATTTGGTAAATGGAAATTGACCTGACAAAGTTTGTTTTGCAATTTTCCATGATAAGTAGTCTTTTGTAATTTGTCGATACCCGCGACCCTAAGTAAAGTAGATACGTTCTATAAGCGCTTCAATCAGCATTTGCTGGTACGCATGAATCAGGAAGATGTTTTGGTTAAGTGTGGGAACAGTGAAGTTGACAATTACTATCTGCATTTACACTTCAAGATTAGAAGTATTAGGTGGACTACATTGGACTATTAGCCTTCAGTGCAAAAAATTGAAGTCATGCAAAACAAGGAAGGCAGAATAGGGATAATTTTTACTACGCTTCATAGAACAAAATGAATAATTGGTATTAGCAATAAGTGCAGCATATCTTGTTATGGAATTATTTCTGTCCCGCAATCATATGTTATTCAACAGCAAAACGTCTGTTTTCACATTATACCTCGTATCGTTTACTTCCCTTATTATTTAGCTAGCCGATTGTTATAGAATTTAATATCAAGAATATAATTTCATTAATCCATAATGACTCATAGCATTAATAAAAGCACCATTTTCATCCACTCACATAGTTGCCATTCGGAAGGGGAGCTATGAAGACTGATACCAGCCGTCATTGGAGTGCATGAATACTCGCACCGTTTTGTACCACTTGCGTGGATGAGAATAATCGACAAGTTTTGAAATCTATTAACGATTTAACGAGACGAAGATATTTTCTGCCGCCTATAGACAAGTAGTCTGGCTGCACCATATCTGGGTAAGTGAATTTTTGCAATATCTCTGGTCTTCTATCAACTTAACTAACTTGCCTAAACTTTAATCATACTAATAAGGAGTTGGTTTCAACATTCAATCAATAATACTCGTGTGCGAACGCAATGAAATACTAGTTTATCACGTCTTCCATGGCATCAACCAGCGCAGAAGCTAATTGCGTTAATGACCTGATAAACTAAGCGTTTTTATTAGGCAGCTTTGTAATGACAGCTTTCACTTCCAAGTAGTTCCGCAGGCCGAATTCCGAATTTTCCCTGCCCTGACCAGACATTTTGTAGCCGCCGAAGGGGGTCTGGGCGTTCAGCACATCGTAGCAGTTGATCCTGGGCAACGAATAAATTCATTCGAGATCTATGAATTCAATAAAGTGATAAGGTAATTAATTAATTCATTCATCTGAGGATGAATTCAGTCAATGAATATACCAAGCTTTTGATATACAATTGGAAACTTGAATTGAACTTTTTAATCGAATTAGATATGCCGCTTGTGTGAATAAAGCCAATAGGGAAAGCGGTGGCAGTCACAATCTTCTTGCATAGGTACAGATAGCACCAGTCATAATAAATGATGCAATCAACTCGTGTGGACAGCTACATGGATGTGACTAAATCAGTAACTCCGTACCGCAAAACCAAGAGGACACAAGCGCTCACTACTAATTCGAGCAGAGTGTGAATAATTCAGGAATCATAACTACAATCAAGAACGCTCACCAGACAGTGCCGGCACGCAGGCCCTGGGCGAAGAGGTTAGCTTTGTCGAGATCATTGGTGAAGACGGCGGCGGCGAGGCCGTACTGGGTGTTGTTGGCGCGTTCTATCACCTCTTTGATGTCGCTGAACTTCAGGATCTGCATTACTGGCCCAAAGATCTGCATGACGAGATCACTTCATTAAAATATTTATCTGGTGAAATTTTAATCTGTCATTCTAATTTCTTAGATATATAGTGAAATTTTATATTCATTTCTAGCAGGCATTGGAGATAAGTTTCCTTCGAGTCGAGTTACTTTTCGGTTATCTAAGAAAATGGCTCATTAACGACAGTAGTTTTAACTCGCTTCAATTAAATAAATAACAAAATATAGGGGAAATGTGCAGGCCTTGCACAAAACAGGAATAGCAACATTTACCAACAGCATCGAGATAGGGGGTGAACATAAACCATAGAAACGGGTATAATCGCTCAACTCTGAGAAACACGTGGTAGCACTCTTGACTTCACTGAACCTATTTTTGAGGTCCGAATCAGAATAGCTCAAGTGCAGCAAACTTCAATTTTAGAAATGGCGCAGCGTTGACAAAACTACTCGACGAATTTACCTCCTCCTGAGCGATCCTCATGTTATCCTTGACGTCCCTGAAGATGGTGGGCTGCACGAAGTAACCTCTGTCGCCGTGCCTGGCGCCTCCGCATACTAACTTGGCGCCGTCCTTCTTGCCAGAGTCAACCAAACTCAAAATCTTGGTCATCTGCTCCTCATCAATCTGTCGAGGAACAGAGCGTTAAGTCACAAAAAAAAAACGACTTCAAATGACGCGAAATTCCAACACCAAAAACAAGTGAGCTCGCACAGCGTCAGGTCGAAAAAGTTGGGCGATGGAAAATGTTGAGTTTAGTTGCATTCCACAAATAATTCTGTCAATTTTCTTCTTTATATTGAGAACCTAATCTCACAAGCAACCGTGCTTGGTAGATGAATTTTATTTTACGAACGAGTCTAAGCTCGTTCGGGAATTGTATTTCTAGCTCTAAAATTATATCATTTCATTGCTTATTTTTTGTCCCAATCACTTGCATCAGTTCAATACAATTTTGAAGAAATAATCTGCAAAAATTTGGAGCCAGGAATCTCGGCGAACTAGGCGTATTTAACAAACAAGTATCTGCCACCACCAACTAAGATATTTAATATTATTGAAGACAAACCTGAGGTCCTTGCTCGTTGGATGCATCGAAAGGGTCACCGATGGTTCTCTTCTTCGCTCGCTCCAAGCTCCGCTCAACAAATTCATCGTAAATGCTGTCCTCCACGAAAGTGCGGGTACCAGCACAGCAGCATTGGCCCTTTGAGAAAATAAATTATTTCAGCTTTCTATAGTATCTGTATCTACTATTCATGCACGTGGCACAAAAAATATATATATTCCATGTAATATATCCACAGTTACATCAAGTTCCTGGTTAAAATTTACCTATCCATACATTCCCCTATAACAGCGATTGCAAATGATGTAGGCTAGTGGCTGGCGCACAAAAGATCTAACACTGAATGAAGAATGAAAAAAACGGCACCACAATGCGACACCAAATATCATGTTTTTCCTCTCAATGAGTTGCTTCAAACTGTCAGTCATACAAAATAATTATTACACAAAGTTATAAATATACTAAATAACTAGCCACTAAAAAATTACTTGGTTGAAGAAGAGCCCGAAGTGCGCTTGTTCCACGGCATAAGCGAGGTCTGCATCCTTGAAAATAATGTTAGGGCTCTTGCCGCCGAGCTCCAGGGTGACGCGTTTGAGGTTGCTGGCGCCAGCCGCCTGCTGGATCTTGTGGCCAACCTGCCAGTTCGGGAATGTTCAACAAACGATAACTTGAAAAATCAATAATATTGTACCACATTGGTCCTACTCTCAATTCGAAAATATAATAAGCTAAAAATTGGATAACTGCCATCAAACGGACGGAGCAAAAGCGGGTAAAATATGAAGTCAAGCAGGCAAAACGCAGCACACATTTAACCAAGTGATATATAAAGGGAAGCATATAGTAGGAATGCTTACTACTGAAAAAAAAAATACTTGCTGAGAGCAAACAATTTTACCTTAGCCTAACAAAATAACAAGAAGATAAAATAAAAATCGAGGCATAGGGTCGATTTTTTACCATTTACTAATTCAAATAATTAAACATCCCCTCTCCCTGAATTTAAAATACAAGATATTGAAGTAGCGATGATTTACGTTGTATATATACAACAAATACTCAGATTTTCAGCTGGGTTCTGGAGAAATGAGATTTTGGGCTGCGATTTAAGAAACTCATACAAATTTCACGATACATAAAAAATTAGGAAACGATGCAAAGGAGACTGACCTCCGTGGAGCCGGTGAAGGCGACCTTGTCGACATCAAGATGCGAGGCGATCGCTGCCCCCGCGGTGGGGCCGTAGCCCGTCAGTACGTTGACGACCCCAGCAGGGAAGCCTGCTTCCTTCACGAGGGAGGCCACATGCAGGCCTGACAAGGGCGTCTGCTCCGCTAGCTTCATCACCACGGTGTTGCCTTGGTAACAGTGATACAGCTCGGTTATTGGAAATGATGAATGATGCGCGCACAACTTCTACGATGATGGATAATGTTACCAATGGAGGTCTTTCTACGATCAACCTTAAGGCTTATTAATTTAATTTTCATTTAATCGGTATTAGAAACCTATACAAGTGATATAATGCAAAAAATTAATATCTTCGATAATTAATCTTCAGCACGTTGGGTTCATTAATTTTCAGAGGTGGGCAGTAGCGCGCTACATGTAGCGGCCGCTACATTTTCAGCAGCGGTAGCGGCGCTACATTTAAGCAATTGTAGCGGTAGCGGTAGCGCCCGCTACATATTTAAGTAGCGATACGAGGTTTTGCCGCTACAGCGCTACCGCTACATTTATAGATAAAGCCTTTAGATTTTACTTAATAGTATTAAATATTATTTAAAACCAGCATGATACATACATAATATAAATTACAAAATAAAACTACGAAAGATTTCGGTGTAATGTTGTCAACCTCAGCCTGTTACTAGTGTCAACATGTTAGTTGTTACGGTACTAGGTGGGCAGTAGCGCGCTACATGTAGCGGTAGCGGTAGCGCCCGCTACATTTAGAGTATGTAGCGGTAGCGGCCGCTACATTTCAAATTAGCGCTGCCCAGCTCTGTTAATTTTATCCTATTTGGCGTCATCATCACATTCATGCTTCGCAAACCCTTGTAACGGCAGGTTCTCTTGCTTTTTATTGTATAAACTAAATACGAAGAGAAATAAAAAACCTCACGAAACGCAATCAATCATTTAAATGAAACTTCAGAGTTTAGAGCATTATAAAATGAAGTTCAATATAGTTTGCATTAGAACAAGAATGAATACCAAACTTGAATGTTAATGCATAAAAGAGATGCCGACTGCCCCGTTCCAAGTATTATTTAAAACAAACTCGTCTTAACTAACCAGTGGCCAGGGCAGGCCCTAACTTCCAGGCCTGCATGAGCAAGGGGAAGTTCCAGGGGATGATCTGGCCACAAACACCCACGGGCTCAAGTCTGGTGTAGGCGAAGTAAGGACCGTCCGTAGGGATGGTCGTGCCGTGTATCTTGTCCGCGTAGCCAGCGAAGTAGCGTAAGTTCTTCACGCTCAGCTCTACGTCCGCAAGTAGCGCATCCTTGTACGGCTTACCGTTGTCCAGGGTCTCCAAAGACTGCAGGATAAACGCAAGCCATTCATTAAATAATCCACCGAGTCGAGAGCAAGTGAGATTTTCAGTAAGTCACTAGCTTGAAAAACGTACTAGGTTTGAGATTATATTCAAATTGCAGCAAAGAATTTTATCGTGTCCAAAGTAAAAGGACTAAATAACCGTTGAAAAATGAATACATTCAGAGCAAAATGCTTTTAGTATGACACTGTTTTAGAACACCTAAGAACTACCAAATAGCGTATTTTATTAAAATCGAGAAAATTAATGGTGGAAGGCAAAGTGCGTCGCTCAATGTTAAACGCATCGGAAATGCGAATTCCTCTCGACATAAGAAAATTACGCAGTGGTGGAAAATGAACTTTGCGCCGCTCTAAAAGGATAATCCATTCAATCTTGAATACATGACGAGGAGAAAAGTGGCAATTTTGATATAATTTTCGAACCGCATTCAACACGCTACTTTCCTTCGCGTGTGTTGATAAACTTTAAACCTGAGAGCTATTGATACGATGTGTTGGTGGATACGAGCTCGCCAAACAATTTTCATAGTTCGAATGTAATCACCAGCCAACTTCATGGTTCGCTTAACATTTACCAGACGTAGAACACTCGTGTTTCTAGCTTTCATAAAAATAAAGCCATGCAAATTGATGGGAGGCTTCCACTTAAATTTTTTTAATCGTTCGGTTAGGTCTCTTTATCCCATAACCATATATAAAAATACCGATTTTTTATATCCCGATGATCTCGGTCCTCAAGCCGCACGCATAACCAGTGATTTTGTGGCTATTGTGTGCTTATCAACCACACAGTAAACACGGAAGCCTAAAACAAAACAGATTCGGCAATGCAAGGATTCACGTTAGGTCACGGGATTGACGTTTACTTCAGGAATTCACGTAAAAGAGAGACTACTTCACGACTTAATTTAAAATTGATTCCTTGGTTCATCCACAGTACAGGATAAGACTCAGCAAATTAATAAAGGCTATGCTGCAGGACTCACCGCGAGGTAGACCTTGTCTCTCTCCATGAGGTCGGCGAGTCTGTTGAGCAACACCCCCCTGTGGGAGGCGTCCATGCTACGCCACTCGCCGTTCAACGCGAACGCCGCACGCGCTGCCGACACCGCCTTGTCTACGTCAGCCTGCGCATGTACGATAACTTAGACACCATTAACCATCTCTCAATGAAAGTTCGTTATACGTCAATTTCTTACATCCTACCTTGAACATCAGTTCACACAGAACGTCAAATAATTTGAATCGACATGCGCTAAAAACGTGCGTGAGAACAAATGTCGAAGCCATCCATGAGTAACTCTTCAAACTCGTTATGAACTTATGGAGTAACAAAATTAACATAATTTTATACAAGTCAAACGGTCAAACAGTTAAAATCCCTAGCTTGGTCACGTACGCTAACAAATAAGAATATTTCATTCTACATCAGGCCGTCAATATCATGTATTAAAAAAAACTTTGAACACGAGAGTGGAAAGGAAACCATAACGTACACTTAGAAAACACTTGTAAAGGATCATTTTCAATTTTTCAACTGGTGAGAATGAGTCGTACTACAGATTTCAATGTTCTTTCGACCGTAATTTTAAATTAGTCATGGAAATAAAAGCTCACGCTATTCACCTTGTCAGCTTCAGCCAGTCGTACTACAGACTTCAATGTTCTTTCGACCGTAATTTTAAATTAGTCATTGGAGTCAAAGCTCACGCTATTTACCTTGTCTGCTTCAGCCAGCTAGTGGTGCTGCAGATTTCAATGTTCTTTCGACCGTAATTTTAAATTAGTCATTGGAGTTAAAGCTCGCGCTATTCACCTTGTCAGCTTCAGCCAGTCGTACTACAGATTTCAATGTTCTTTCGACCGTAATTTTAAATTAGTCATTGGAGTTAAAGCTCACGCTATTCACCTTGTCAGCTTCAGCCAGTTGTACTACAGACTTCAATGTTCTTTCGACCGTAATTTTAAATTAGTCATTGGAGTTAAAGCTCACGCTATTCACCTTGTCAGCTTCAGCCACCCGGCAGATCTCTTCTCCAGTTGCGGGGTTGACCGTAGGGAAGGTCTTGCCGCTCGCTGAGTCAACGAATTCATTGTTGATGAATAGCTGAAAAAATATGATCGCATTGATGACACTAGCGTGGTACGCCATTCAGTACAATATCGGTACGCTAATGACGTGTCGACATAGCACGTCATTAGCGTTTGCAATGACATAGATGCATACAATACCGGTTTATCGAGTTATAGGCCTCCAGCTTTTGAAGACATGACATCCGTTGAATTAGACCAACCATCAGCATAGACGAGCGGTTTACTATGACATAGAATAGACGGCCAAAGCTTGCCCTAATCAGTCATGATGAATCTGAACTTAACATTGAATATTACCCGCCACCAACCTGGCTTCATTTTCTTAATGCACGAAATGCGTTGCATGTTATCTTAATCGAGACGGATGGCTAATCGTCAAAAAGAATTAAACTTCAATCCGAAACTCAAACCAAGATTCTGTAAGCTAAACCTATTAACGTATTGCTTATTAGTAGTAATGTAAGGACTAGCAAACAGGTTAGTTAATAATGAAGGCTTTTACTGTCCGAGGCCTGGTGGTGTTTAACAGGTTTCATGCAACTCCTCAGCAAAACCATTCAGATTTGTCACTGCACTGGGTAAACTTGGTCGATTGGTGGAGTCATTAAATTGGGTATTTCGCTCCGTTATTTGATGATGTCGGCTCATAATTGGTGTTAAAAATTGGAGGTGCATGGCTGCGACTCCAGTTTAGTGACTTAATGGTAAAAAGTCCTGAACACCGCATAAAAAGACGAGAGATTAGACTCTTTGACGGCAGTACGAAAAATAAGGAAAATAGGGAAGGAGATTTACAGGGGCAAATGATGGTTCAAAGTTCGGATGTTTTAGGTTCGTGTAAGGATCTGTTAATACTTTATACTACGTATTTGTATATCAGGAAGTCTGTCTAGATAAGAACGCACCCACGGACACTGAGACAGACTTGGCGCGGTTGGTAACACGAAAACAGGAGGGGACACTACGTGACCTTGAACATTATCAGACTCTAATGAAGTCCACAACCTGTTTACCGCCACATAATAATTCAAGTTACCGTAATCAAAAATATCTATGGAAGATGCAGAACCACCGACGCTTAGCAATTGACTAAAATGAAACTATGATTATACGAGAAACCTCATTTAACTGTTAAATAAATTTCCACAAATTTAGATGAAAGTTCAAAACTAGTGTTAGTTTAACAACAATGTTGAATCGCAGCGTTTAATTTAGCCATAATAAAAAACATACGTAATGTGAGTTTATCGTTGATTTCAGTATGATAGATACACCAATCGATAACTATAGTGGTAGTCAACTCAGCGGCTACCCGGATTGAAGAGAAGCACAAACAACAGATACGCCCGACAGACCCGTCTCAAGGTCATTAGCGACCCGATAACATATGTACAAAAGCGCACAAATTCGAACAGGAATGATCGACACCTATCCGGCAATAATCTACTGATAAGACATACACGTAATGGGAACACTCCAGTAAAACCTACAGAGGTCGTCATGTTACCCGCTAGAATGGTTTCGGACGCGATGCACGAAGAAAGAAGCAATGACGCGAATTACGAGACATTGCGACTTCGAATTGACTAAGACAATACGATGTTAAGGTCCTTTACGGTACTGTCTATTGGTCAACTTTTACCTTACCAGCACTGCATCTGCGTCAGTTTATTATCTAAATGAGCATGCAATTAATTCAGGGAGATTTAATCGGAAGTAGAACAGAAAAAAAGGCTGCGCTAAATTTAGAACGTTAGTCTTCTCTGAGACGCATGTTCTGCTAAAGAGCATTATTAATTTAAAATGCAGTCATCTTGGCTCTAACTAAAATAGGCAGGTCCATTCACATGGCAATGTGACACTCTGCCTAACGGCAGACAGACAAGTATATACCACTTGTTGAAGTTTTATACATTTTGAATTAGTTCAACCCTGAAACTGCTATATGATAAGTAGTATATGTGTAGTGTCAAAAATGCAGTCCACCATTCCATTACACATTAAAAATTCATAAAATTAAGGTCCATGATTTTCAAAATATGTAATTAAATGATCACTTTTACATTCCTGCCCACAGGCAATAGCAATATTTTTGTGTTAATCAGATATAAAATTAGGCAAACAAACCAATGACAGAAATTTTATTTCTACTTTCCCATATCAATTAATGAAATTTAACATAGTATATACAAGTTATTCATTCACATCTTGCACAAAAAATAAGAAGGCAGGATGACAACTACCTGCACAAGTTGCTAACTTGATAGTAAACGCTCAATATGTAATCATTAAGTTAAAAGACTAATATTAAAACCCATCATCATGTAGAGTATTAATAATTATTCTGTTGAAACAAGGAACATTAAAGCCAAAATGTTTCAACAATTCCATTAATTCTGTCTCATTTTTTAAATCATGAAAATTACAAAATACTAGAGGCCTTAAAAATAATTTAGTAAAATATTATAGGTTAAACTTTAAAGCAGCAAGTTTACATTTCATGACTGACAAACCATCTTTTCAAAATTTTGTAGTAGGACATGCAAGTTAAAAAGCAATGGCAGCTTCAAGCCGCCTTCAACTGAGCTTAAATTTTAGGCATGATCAACTACCTACGTCGTACTGTTCCTAGACCTAGAGTCCTAGAGTGTAGTAATTAGACAGTTTAGACTGACCAGTAAAAAGGAATATTTTAACCCTCGTGATACTTTTTTGAATATTAATTTAAACACTAGGAACAACCCCTCCTCAAGTAATCATATACCTAGACTCAAGTTGGTATTCGTTGTAGAAGGCTAAAAACGACGCCGCTGGCCAGAAGCATTTGCTTTGGCTATTCAGGATGTTAAAGAGACGAGCCTCTGAAGAGTGATAAATTAATCTTACATTTGTTAAAATATCATAATTTCGACAATTCAACTCACGTACTTTAGTGTACTCGATCGAAGGATTGACGACAGGTTTAGGGAGCGCAGAAGTACTGAAATTGGCTCTTGGAGCTAGCAGAAGGCTCCTCGAACAGCGAGTTATAAGCGTCGATGCCATGTTCAGAGGCGTTGTTGATGATAGCGTCGATATAACAACCTCTCACCTATGAAGGCTGCTCAGGCACTGGCCCACTGGGTTGCAATTTTGCCAAATGCCAACACTGATCTCACGTCTCAACGCCAGTGCGCTGTCTCGAATAATGACACTCTCTCGGTGTGACGCACTCTCGACAGAAAACGTTTCAACCTTAAACGCAAAGTCCAATATTAGCCAATAAATTATTTTACCAGTGATTTTAATAAGTTAGTATTCCTTACTATGGTGTTCCTTGTCATAGAAAAATTAAATTTATTTCATACAATAGTGAAAAGTCACGAAAAACTTGTAATGAATGACATCAGATTCTTATAATTCAAGGGTATAAACCAACAGCTCATTAATAGCTAAAATTAGGAATAAATACCGTACGTTGGATGTCGAACTTTACTCTGCTATGGTTTTGTTACCCAGATGGCGCTGTTTATTTGTCCCAACCCTGCTGCACCGTAAAGACTCTTGGTCCATCTTACACAATCTAGTTGATATTGCGTATCAGCTGATACTTGTAAACAACGCATCCTCTCCTTACAACCTCTCAGTTCAATAGTTGGCTTCTACATTTCATCATTATGGAGGTCGACGAAGATATGGTGCAAATAGATGACACAGAAAGTGAGGTGAGAAATTGATGATGCTTGATCTGCTATGTGAATTAGGTGATTTGTTTTTCATTATGTGATTTTGTTTGTGCTGAAAAATTTTTTCCGGAAGTATATCTGTTTTCTCATCTGAATAATTAGCTTCCTCTTCATGATTCATGATCACTGAACACTGATCATTGATGAATGGCCTTGACTGTCCTATTACTCATTAGTCCAATACTATAGTCCCCATACCACATATATATAAAATTGGTGTAATTTGGCAGGAGCTTTTCTTTTATGCAAGTTTGGTTGAAAACCATTCTTCAGAGCATGCTTCTTATCAAAAATTGTTTATTGTGTTATTTGTTTTTTCAAAGAGCCAAACAAAATTTCTTGCTGGCGCCCACTGTGCGGAGAGTGGAATGTGGATGAATATTGCAAGATCTTTGGCGACTCTTCAGTAGCAAAATTTACGCCTTCAGAAGATCATGCCGACACATTTAGATTGAAATTCTTGCATATAATATATTTGTCAGTCTTCAGAAAACGATTTAAAAAAAGTAAGGTTTCTGATATGTTGGATGGATCAGGATGCAGTGAAGCTTGACCAGAAATCAGTTGCGATGAGTACCTGCCAAAAAAATGTAAACATCAAGCTTACGATTACGTAGTTGCAATCACATTAGAGCAGTCAGACTGCATTATCACATGTTCAGTTGACACTTGCTGTACAATTGGACTGTTTTTAGCATAAAATTAGTTATTTGGGGTAACACGTGCATGCAACCTTGTAAATAAGTTCGTGGCTTGTAAATAGTTTTTCATTACTCAGCAAGTCAGCATAAATGGCTTTTCATTAAAAATTACCCGGCGATGCATCTTAAAATTACCTGGCAATGCTTAGGGCTTAAAAACCCATATACCGGTATTGGCGACGCTGCATCCATCCTCTGCGCCATGGGCTGGTGCCAGGAGATCAAAAGCAGGTCCCAAATGACATTTCAATGGAATGCAAAGTTTCAACTGTACAATATTCATCATCAAGCAGGGGAAGTGGTTTTTAACACTTGAAATTTACCTTTTGAAAATGAACAAATGATAGTAACTAGTAGTTACTAGTACAAAATACAAATCAAGGGTATTATATATGCAGTTTGACTTTGAAATCTAAGCTTAAAAGTTACTCTTAATATAATTTCAGCATCTAGACCAATTCTGTAGTCTGGAGGTTGATAGCTGCAGGATTTGAATTTTCCTACTTGTCCATGAAATCTCACGGCGTGTCATGTTGAATTTTTAGTACATTTGGAAACTCACAGCCCAATTGTTAACTTTTGTTAACAATTTAACTTTTGTTAACAATTGGCCCAATTGTTTGTTTGCATGAAAATTTATAAACAACATTAGTTTCTTGAAGCAGTTAAGATTTGTTATGGGGATTACGTATTATTCAAGACATGGTTTTAATTTTATTATTTTTGTAGTAGATCAGAAGTTTTATTTTTCAGTTATTGGCTGTGCCTTTGATATTATTATGGATGATTGACTGTAGGACTCATTATTCTACTTTGCAGCTTCTGTTCATCTGGTTTTGGTAGAAGATTGTTATGACAGTTCCATTAAAAAATGCTTTATTCTTGATTTAGTTATTTCTCAATTGATAATTTGATATTTCCATGTTAACAGTTCTATTTGAAAATCCACTATTTACTAGGATTTGTTTACAAGTTCATAGTTAAATTTTCACATCTCTCTTGGATGTGCTGGTCTGAGGTCTTGAATACTCTGTATGAGTGCTACTGTGCTGGTTTTATAGCTTTGATGGCATTCCAACATTGGTAGGTTCTTGGTAAACATTAGTGACAATTTGACAAAGGAAATATTTTCAATATTCACTAATGTATCTAGGAATGGCAAATTGTGATTTTGTCCAATTTCATTGATAAACTTCAAGACTGAATCATGTTCCAAAGCTCTTTGCAGTTCAATCAAGTGTTCTCTGTCTCAAGAGACAACAAAAATGTCATCAACATATCTGCGGTATAGCTCATGCTTGATCTGTACCTTGAATAACACTCAATTTTCCAGTTCACATATATAGAATTCAGCAAAAGTTGGACCCTGCTATCCCTTGCCATCTCTGTTAATTTGTTGGTGAATTTTGTTATCAGGAGAATGGAAGGGAGATTCTGAAGTAAAGAGGCAAAGAAGGTTAATTAGGAATTTTTTTGTATAGGTATGGCTCGCAGTGTTTGTTGCAAATATGAATGCTTTATGTTAATTTCTAATGTTTCTCTGGTTAGTACATTAGTGAACACTAGTTACATCCGGTAAAGCTAGTAGACCAGAAGGGTGTGAGCAGTGATGGGCATAGTTCCACTAATCCACTAACCGCTAAGTAGCACAGCTAACTGTTTCCTTATTGTAAGCATTTTAGCTAACTTTTAAAACCATCAGCGGACCAATTAGCTTCTGCGATATATAGTTCTGCTAACTGTCAGTCCATTAAAAATGTTTGAAAATCTCATCTGATAGAAAATTCAGGTGGTAATATTTGATGCTTAGTATCATTAGCCATGTGCCACCAATCAACCAATCACGTATTGTGTTACCTATATATAATGTAGTAGCACAAGACATGATTGGTTGACGCAGCATTGTGTAATTTGGCAGTCCAGTCCACTTTAAATGTTAGTCGCATAACACGTTAGTCTTACAGTGTCAGGGATGACAAGGTATGTTAACATAAACATGTCAGTCTACTGAGTCTACAAGTTTTTGTAATGGATCATGAAAAAGTGTATAAATTCAAAACAAATTTATACACCAATAGAAAGAGAAAGATTCAATTTTTGTTTTATTTATTGAAGAGCAGAATTGGGTGGCATTGGTGGCAGGGTAGCCTTGTGGTGTTGAGAACGTTGGGTAGGACGCATAGGAAATTAAGAGATTAGAAGATTCAGTGGCAAGAAGAGACTTCTTACCACCAAGAATATCTGATCTCATCCCTTTTGACTATTTTTTATGGGGTTACATCAAGGAAGCTGTTTACATCCTGCCTCTATCAGCAACTCTGGTTGATCTGAAGAATGGTATCACTGCTACGGTGCACTCAGTAACAGAAGATATGCATTTCGTGTGTGGGACGAGGCTGGCTACCATTTAGATGTTTGCTGTGCAGCACAAGGGGGACATACTGAACATTTCTAAATATATTTTAAAAAACTTTGAATCTTTCACTTTCCATTTTATAATTAAATAAATATTAATTTATTAAATTCAGTCCATTGTTTAGAAAAAACCTGTATATGTCAGTAATGAGGGTTTGTATTGTATTAATAGTATTAGTTCACTGTTAGGAACTGGTATGACAGAGAAGAGAAGCTTCTCATAAATTTTCATGGTTCAGAATTGTAACTTGAGGCAATGTTGTTGATGAGTGATTACATAGATATTATGGCTTATTGTGACAACCATTTTTCTCACATTAGTTCCTTCTCAAAATATGGAATGTTCTTTCTAAATCTCAAACATAGAAGTGGGTACAAACAATCTATTAGGACTCCATTCAATCAATGAGAGCAGGCATTCAATTGAAGTTCTAAATTAACAAATTCTTGACCTCAATTGCCCTGAAAACCATTTAGAATGACAAAGTTATAAAATGTACAGGAAATCTATTATTTTTCTACAATTTAACCAGGTTAAAGACTTTGATTTATGCCATGAACACCATTCCTAGAGTTGCCCTGATATTAATATAAGGGTGATGACTTTTATACAACCATGTTTCCCTGTATAATAATTTTATGCACTTTCATTTAATAATGAATAAAATATTACATTCTCGGCCATTTGTTAAGAAAAACTCATGCTCAAATGTTTTTAAGAATTTTATTTACTAGCTGCTAGATAGGTACAAAATTAAACGCAAGTTGTAAAGTTGCACGCATATTGAATTCTACATTATATAGAAAATTGTGAGCATTATTACCTTCTTGACAGTAGGTAATAACTTGGCAATAGAGGATAGTATTTAGATAAGAGTATACGTTTTATGACCATCAATTTTGTAAATATTCTAAGCGATTGTAATCGTGCGCTTTACGATCGGTGGATATACCAATCTGCGATCGCACATTGGTATATCTAACAGCGGTTCGACATTTTACCGCGATTGTCACAGATTTGAAGTGTCATTGATGGTAGATATGTCATTTGAAGGTAGATATGTCATTTGAAGGTAGATATGTCATTTGAAGGTAGATATGTCATTTGAATGATATTATTTTAAAAGGAATTTAAAAGCAAAGAAAACGCCAAGAAAATTCACCATATCGATATTGAAAACGTTTCGGAGTCCAGCTCCATCATCAGTTCCACTAAACTAAAAATGAATAAAATCACTTTAAAAGTCAAAATTCAAAGACAGACATAAAACCTAAACAAGACCTAACATTATATCGAAATAAATAGTACTAGTTTTATGGTGAATTTTCTTGGCGTTTTCTTTGCTTTTAAATTCCTTGTGAACTTGCGATATAAGCAGACTAATGATATAAGTACTTATATTATTTTAAGTTGTGTTTCTTATAAGATTTTTATCATTAAAGTGTGTTCATCACTAGCGTCATTTCCCTCGAGTGAGTGGAATTACATTGTGCAGTTAGAAATATCCAGCTTCGTGCAATTTTATTTATTACAAAGCAGTTTAACACAGTTGTAAAGCCTTGGAATAAATAATCGCCATTTTTATACATGTTTTGGCTCTCCCAACAGATACGTGTTGATTTTTAATGCAAAACAATATCGTTGTCTTAGTTAATGATGTAATGTATGAGTATTGTCGGTCGTCAGTGTAATGTATGTATAGCGTCGGTCGTCAGTGTAATGTATGTGTAGTGTCGGTCGTCAGTGTAATGTACTGTATGTATAGTGTCGGTCGTCAGTGTAATGTATGTGTAGTGTCGGGCGTCAGTGTAATGTATGTGTAGTATGTATGTGTAGTGTTGGTTGTCAGTGTAATGTATGTGTAGTGTCGGGCGTCAGTGTAATGTATGTGTAGCGTCGGTCGTCAGTGTAATGTATGTATAGCCTGGCAGCTTGAAGCCACTGCCACACTGTCCCTGCAAGTGCGTCGGTCGTCAGTGTAACGACGCAGTAAGGCTGGCGTGGTAGTGATGGAGTTGATGTTGAAGCGTTGCCATCGGTTACGTGCATTTCGACGCGCGTCCTGCTCATGTGTTTACCATTGAAGCAGAAAGCGACAGAAAGTTTGTGCGTTTACTGAAAAAAAAAATTGTTGTTGCATTTTGCGGTATAATCCTGGTGCTGTTGAGGCTGGGCTAGGACTTAGGCGTCGTGTTGAGTTGCATTGCATGTTGCTAGTGCTAGACTAGTTTTCTTACCTTCAAGTTGCCGGCGGCGTTCCTAGTTACATGACTTGCATCGTCAAGAGATATCCTACAACTTCATGAGGGTTCAAAAATTATTTTGTTGACGTGTCAGCCTTATTTTTGTTTATAGACGTAATTGTTTTGAAATTTCAGAACAAATTCTAAGCGCAGATTTTCATTCGTAAAGTCACTGATTTATTTATATACCTTACTCATCACCAACTTGTTCAAATATACGGCAATAAAAGGGTTTGCTGCAATGCTAATTATATTATGATCGGAAGAAGTAACAAAGGGTTCATCTCTTAACAATATTGGTTTTTATACAAATGGGAGAATGTCTCTCCAAAAGCCGTTTTGTGGCTTTTGTTCATTATTTACGCACTGGGAGTGAGTGCAGTCGATGGAAAGTAATGTTGCCAGAGTAGCCTAGTTGTGAAGCTTGGCGTGCATACTCTTGGATAGGAGCGAGCCGTATTATTCACTGCAGAAAACACAGAGCATCACTCGGCTGGTGCCGGCTGATGTGAGAGGGTGTGTGGTGCTCGGTGTCGCTTCTCTTGAGACGCACAAGTGACTGCGACGTAGTTCGAGGTAGGGCTGTGCCGGCTCGTAGTGACGCACTATGTACTATCTGACGTTTGTATATGTCTATACAAATTCCTTCAGTTAGTGTTACTTGAGTTCCATACAATTGTTCCAATTAAAACATTCTGGTTGCAGACTTGCAGCCATTCTTTTGTTTTCCGAGCTGGTATTCTCCCTCTGAAATCAGTCACAGTTTTCGACGTAGTGTCCTCAGCTGTACTGATTGGACACTGATAGCCGAAGGGTGGATTCATGTAATGATGTTACACGATTATAATGCAAAACTTGATTCAAAAATACTAATTTTGTACAAATTATAACCATCATTGTGCTTTCAGTTCTGTATCGTGTCGGGCAGCTAATAGAGTTGTGCGAAGCGAAATAAATGTTCTATTTGTGTTGTGTAGCCTACAGTCACTTCGGTTGTAAAGCGACAGTTCTTGTATACTGGTATTAGATTCTTATTTATATTCTTAAATGCGTAGTAAAACTGATGCCGTCGTCTAGCATCACTTATCAGATTAGGCTATGTGTAACAGAATGTAGTCAAAATTTATGATATATCTTTTGCGCAGTTGAATTCTGTGGCCTCTGATATGCTGGTAATGCCTCGCCATCTTGAATTACTGATTTCTTCGTCGCGTTATAAGCTTCCTCGAATTAGCGTTGTTCATGCAAGCAAACGAGTCGGGTTGTGGATGGCTTTATTAATTTTATATGCCATTAAATGGGAATCTCTCCACTTGCCAAAAAAGTGGGCCAATTAAAGCCACAATTTTTTTGAACGAAATTTGCGGTATTTAGTAATAACCTAAGCAGTAAAGTGTACACTTATCTCATATTGGATTTCCTCTATGCATTATTATAACGAAGGGACGTATAGTACGTAGGCAGAAATAGATATTTTTCAATCAAATCTCTTATGTTTCGATAGTAATGTACGATACCACGTCTCAAGCCAGTGGCAGGCATCTTCTTCAATTTGTTAATGCGGGTAATAGATAAATGTACATGATCTGAGAAACGTTCTACATTTCAGGTCAGCCGAGCCCCCAGCAAGCGCGGCAGGAAGCCAGGCAGGAAAACAGCCAAGTCCGACATGAAAGTCAAACTTGGTGAGCATAACTATATTCAAGTAAAAATTCCATGTATCGTTTTCGAATCGTTTTGATATAAATAAAATAGGTTATGTGTTATACTAGTATAATTTACTTGGAACGTATATGCATTCATGTTCTCTAGGGACTTAGAATTCTCGTTCTTCTTCCGCTAAAGACAGTGCTCTGGTGGAAACGAGTGCTCTTCGCTACGAGAATTAAGGTTTGCGTCCGCCAGGCGAAAAGTATTACCGACATTCTTACGCATTGATTGGCCGAGTGTTGTACACAGGCCGCAAGTATGGATATTCTGACGTGTTGACATTTACGGTTGCAGAACGCAGCCGCCAGAGTGCGCGGGAGTGCAGGGCGCGCAAGAAGCTGCGCTACCAGTACCTCGAGGACCTCGCCAACGCCAGGGAGAAGGCGGTGCTCGCTCTCTATCAGGAGGTCGAGCAGGTGCGACGCCATATTTGCTTATGAAAAATATGTTGTGTGATTTGTTGGTCAGGAGAGCGTGTAGCTTTATTGTGTCAGATTTACGTATGTTTTATACTAATCGTCAGTATTAAACGCTCATTTGGTTTGTCCCCACTCACTAAGATTGTTGTGGCTGCAAGTGGACGGTAAAGAGTTCATAAATATTTTCTAGTGTTTGTTAATAATGTATCTCGTTATTAATACTAAACTCATTTCCTGCATATTAATATATTACGATCTTCTCTTAAAATTTCAATTACGATTTTAAATTATTACGATCTTCACTTAAAATTAAACGGACTGATAATATAAGTACTTAAAATTTGTAATTTTATCTTTCGTACAGATTTGTAACTCAATTATTCATGACTAATTTACTGGTACACTGTGCAGTACCGGGAGTGGGCGAAGGAGCTTGATGAAGGCCGCGTGCCTGAAGGACTCACGAAAATGATTGAGGAAATGCAGAAGAACAGCCCCTCCGACCTGGAGCCTTCGGCGGTTGCCCAACTGCTGCAACAGCCTTAAGCCCTCGTTCCGCTTCGCTGGTCTTATTGCTGGTGCCATAGCCTTGATCTGGTAGCTGGTCCTAAGTCCTTGGTCATGTTGCTGGTCTTAAATCCTTGGTCTGGTTGCTGGTCCTAAGTCCTTGATCTTGTTGCTGGTCCTAAGTCCTTGATCTTGTTGCTGGTCCTAAGTCCTTGATCTGGTTGCTGGTCCTAAGTCCTTGGTCATGTTGCTGGTCCTAAGTCCTTGATCTTGGTGCTGGTGCCATGTCCTTGATGTCGTAGAACTTGTACTTGCCATTATACTGACCACCGTCAATGCCACTTGCATCGCCGGCCTTCAATAAAAACGCGCCCTATTTTGCAAACAAAACTGAACAGCAATTTTTTAGCGAGATCAAAACAGATTTGTTGTTATCTTATGATAATCTAAATCTACAAATCGTTGTCCAGACCGGTATTATAGTTTTTATTGAACAACGGCGAGTTAAGTGCAGGATCTGCTAAGTGAGAACTCGTGTGTCATTGAGGGTAACTGCCTGCGTTCTACGGGGAGAAGTAATAACTGGTGGAAAAAAGTTACGTTTCTCATTAAGTACAGATTCCGAAGCCACGGAAAGTTCTATGAAGGTACGCGTTATTTCAATGTTAATATGTAAATAACGAAGAAAGTATCCCAGCAAGAGTGACAGGTTTTAAGATGTAAATTATATGTTTATTTTATAAGTGCTACATGCATATGTGATTATTTGAGACAATTTCACGAGCCAATTGCCTAAAGCGAAGACGACGAATATGTGAGTATTCAGACTTGGTAAAAATGATATGGGTGCTCACCGTGTAAAATTCTCACTTGATCGGCTTGATCAGTATAACCTGTTTCAATAGATCGGTTATCACTGGTGTAAAAAAAACCTAATCGAGTACACATTCACTAAATCGTGGCTTTACATCGTATCATTGGGCAATTCTATTTCCGTCCGTAAATAGTTAGCACGAACGTGTCAGGAATCTATCATTACTCTGTGTGTCTAATGATTATTTTTAAGGTTCCGTCTTGATCTTGTAACGATACTCTGGCTACACTTTGTTGGGTGGGTTATTGAAGGCTGCACTTCAATGAACTCTTCTTTAACGACTCTAAACGAGTTAGTGTTACTTGAGAAAATCTATCCGTATTCATGAACCCTTCCCCTCCGGGGGGACTTCTGACGTGTGCCTGTGCGCGTCAAAAGTCCTATGGGATTTCGCGTTCCTAGGGGGATTGTTCCTGAGCGCCCCACCGCTGAGCCCGCGGTGTCTGACTGCAGGTCTCAGTTGTGGAGTTAAGTTATTATGTAGGTAGGATTCCTTACATTTCCCTTCTCTGTCTCTCTCGTGCGGGCGGCCGACGTCCCGTGTGAGCGACCTCTTGTTCGAGTGTCTTAGTTTCTGTTGCTTTTCACCTGTCCCTCCTTGTCACTTCGTCTCTTTGAGATGCTAACGCTGCTTCTTTCGAGCCAGCTTCAGCGGGCTGGACTTCTGAGACCTTCCGCCTCTTGTGGGTGATGAATAATTGAGACCTTCCACCTCTATGGTGATGTTCATCTTGACTTTCGGTGCGAGATAGCTAAATAGCTGAAGCGCTAGTAAACATTTGGCCACTAAACTAAACTAAACTCATGAACTCTTCAGAGCGCTCTGAATCCCCTGAAATAACTACGGTTGTGAAGCTGAATTTTCTTTGGAAAAAACCGTGGATTTTGCTGCGTGTGTCGAAGTTGATGAAAATGCGTCCACTTTGACGCTAGATATTGGAAGTTTCAATTAAAATATTTTTATACCTTCGTTTTTCAACCCGCAAAGAGTAAAGCTACTTCAGAATCTTGAATGCCTACAACTTCAATAAAATGATATATTTCATTATACCCGATAATAATGGAGGTTCTATGTTGTAAGCCAATTTATTTTCAATGTTAAGAAACAACATATTTGTCTTGAAACAAATTTATTTCCATAAAAATAGACAAGACAGTACATGTCAAGATAATACAACTGTTTCACAAACTATTGGTGACCAACAAACCTTCAATTCGTGTGCTGTCATAATGGAATGTTATATAAAGTTGTACAGTAAAACAACACGTGCAGCATAAGTAAACTACGTAAAAGAAGTTGTAGGTTATACCGTCCGAATCTCCTAGCGGTTGTGTAGACAACACAGACTACCTCGACAGGCAAAATATAGGACAACATTTTCTGTGGTCCTATTTATATCAATAATTTTTTACGACACAATCTGAAGAAATCAAGCGCTGCCGTCAATGAACAGGTCCCCATTTCGTTCGCAACACGTCCTGCTCCGTCACAATTCTATGCACACTACAAATCAAATTATTTGCAGCGCGACAGTCGTTTGTTCGCCAATCTTCGGGATCCAAAAAGATCATACAAGCTACTATATTGAGTTAAAAACCTATAACCTCTGTCCAATAATGCTAGAAGTCACGAGGAATAGACTTGGAGAGCGACCGAACGAGTCGTGAACAAATTATAACTTGTGATAAGAAACCTGTAAGAGTGTGAAAGCTACCACCGAAATAAAGGGAGTTTAACCTGCACCAACAACACAAAAGTGACAATACTGAAAGCAAGCTCAGGAAGTGACTGCATGATTGTCACTTCCTGAGGAGACAAGAGTCATATTGGTCATTTTGCAGGCTATAGGACACCTGCAATCGCAATACAGATACGATTATTTTAGACATCACTGCATGTAATAAATCAGCATATATTCGTTCACAGGAATAATTCACTTCTATTTTAATTTGGCAACTTATAAATCAGAATTATTTTTAATTTAGAAGATTATGCCTTTTCCTTGCACCTTAAAATTATCAGTCGAAGGGAAGATCAAACAGACTGAATATAACAAGACCGATAACGCTCGCGTCTATATACTGTATGTTGAACGATGCTAATATCTAAAAACAAAAAAACTTTAAGGTAAATGATGTCGACCAGAGAGCATTTGGATCACCTGAAGAACGATCTCTGGAATTAAGCGTACGATGTGGAAATGATCCGTACGAAGCAATGGGTTAACAGAACCCACTAAGTGATGTGAGCAAAACAGACAAGATTGAGAACCATAGAATTTGTCCGCACAGAACAACCAAAATAATTTTTCCTCTTCACTGCAATATTCACTAATTACAACATGAACTATTTAAAAGAAAGTTTACTTAAGTATTGAAAGAATCAGTAACTCGAATCACAACTTGAAGATTGTACAGCTCAATTAGAGGGAAAGTGAAATAATAAGGGAAAGTGGTCAATTAATATCGACCCGCCATAAGGTATGACGTGATCATATACCAATACATAAACTATATGAGCAACATAACTATGGTATTTTAAAATAAATTGAAGGGAAGGTAGCAGAATAAGATGAAGCAAGGGGAGCTTTAATCCGGGACACTTAATTTAGAGTAAATTCTCACGATATGTTATTGCATTACAGCAGATATATTCTGATGAAATACAACAACATCATTACATCAGATATATTCTGATGAAATACAACAACATCCACCATCTCTGCCCAAGAAAAAGGCATTCTCGTAGTATTGTGACGACAACTCGACAGAAGTTAAGACAAAATCCAACGTCTCGTGAAGGCTCGGGTTTGCGATGGAGCCCGTCGGCTACGTGTTGTCGAGGCTCTGGAGTGGAGCGAATCAGGCAGTTTTTCCTGTATCTGAAGCAGAACGTAGGGTTTGAAGAAGGTATCGTTGATGCCTCCCTGACCGATCATATCAAGGAGTATAGATTGAATTTAGTTATAAATTAGAGAAGATTTATTCAGAAGACCGGTAATTAGGCTACAGCATGTTAAGACACAATAAGTGGTAGAGAGACATTTCTTTTGCAGCCTGATACAACAAAAGTTAATAAGATTACATAAAAACGCTAATATCTCGTGTAAATATTACAATTTGCATTTGTGTAGCTGTTGAACCATACCCGCACATTGTCATGCAGTAGTTGGGATCAAGACATTCCGCAGTGAAGGAAGAGAGCAATTAGATTGAAGCCGAGATCTGTTTTCGAGACAAATATTTTGCGGCCAACCATCATGGATCAAAAGCCTTCATTCGTGAATGAATTTGAATTTCGAAGACAACATGAATGAGGGACTTCTACTATCCCGAAATCACTAAGCTTAGTGACTTGATTCACTTTTCGAAACAAAATACAATTGTTTCATCTTTTTTGAAAAATTTATTTTAAAAATAATGATAACTTTGCTTTGTAATCTTTTTTGGTTCAATGAACCGACGATTTGAAGTTGCACATCATCTCACGAGAGCCATGACTTAGATATGAATAGAGCTGATATATAACAACGCGTCTGATTTACTCATGAATATCCCAACAAAAGCCAAAAACATTAAATACGACTGAAGAAGAATCACAACTGCAGCAGTGGCAGCTGTCATTGGTCGTCGATAAAGTTTCGTGTGTCATCACGTCAAACTAGCATCCTTAGAATGCTAGCATCCACGTCAAACTAGCATCCTGGTTAGAAGAATTGGAAATAAATCTGCAAGCATCGCACATTGGCGACATTACAAGAAGTCGCTTCAGTAGCGATGCAAATGAACTTGAGATGGTAGTAATGTGGCGCATTTAAATATCATTTGTTTGAAAAATGTACAGGCAATAATAGCGGTGAGATTTACCGCCATTCTAATCTATTCTCTATACAAAAAAATACATGCCAATCATATAACGACCAGAATCATGTCGACGCTCAGGTAATACAACAACACAGAGCCTTCGTCGGTAAACCAACTGCCAAGGCCAGCCTAAAATAAATGTAACAATGTAACTGCCAAGGCCAGCCAAAAATAAATGTAACAATGTAATAATTAATCAGACGTGAATAAAATATACAAAACTCATGAATCACACAAACGTGCGTAACAAACTATAAATAAGTTGGACACACAACAGTAATGGCGTAGTGAGCAACTCCAGATTCTTAGCTGTAATCGTCAACAAAACAACAAACACAATCTTAACAAGTAAATGACCTAATAAGAACTAATTGGATCTCTGAACTATAAAGATGTATTAGTATCAACACAACCAGGTCTCGGATGCCCAAAGTCAGGAGAAGCTGTAGAATTGACCAAGGGATCCAGACTAAGTTTGCGGTTACAGAAATGTATGGTTTTATTATGTTTTTGTTCCACGACCTGAGACTAGTTTTGTAATGAATCAAAAACGCTATATCTAGACATAAGCCGAAAATAATAAATGGTATCAGGAAATATGTAAGAGTTAGAGAGAGAGGCCGCTGTACCACATGCATGAAGCATGCATTCTAAATTACGAGGCTCTTCATTCAGAACGATATAGAATAACTGCCCAGGAATTACAAAGATAATTGGAGTAAATTGAACTGTTGAAACACATAATGCGGTCCCCAGAAGTACAAAAGAAGAATCGCACATATTAATTTTATCAAAAATAACATTCCATCGTCAATAATTCAAGATTCACTCCGAGCACACGTTAATTGACTGCACAACTAACAAATTTAAATTTATTAGTTTTCATTGTTCCATTTCATATCAAGGAAATTCATAAGGTTTGGTTTTTCTTGAGAAATTTCCTCTATCAAACAACGTAATCAAGATATTCTAGTATGACAATTTCAGGGATTACAGTATATAGGTCCATCAAAGGGCCGACCTCTCCAGCGCAGGCATCTCGATCTCCACAAGCTGTCACGTCGGACCGACAAAGTTTATTTTAAGCGCTTCATCAAGTTCTTTACAATCCATCCAGCATTAAAAACTCTTCCCACTCAACCGCAAAGAAAAAGAGTACGATTATCATAGATACTGTCGCCGTCTGATTGAAATTCAAGTTAACGTAAAATATAAGTTAATAAAAGGTACGTAGGGTTAAGTAGATGGCCAGCAGCAGCAGGCTCCTTCTAAACATAAATGATCAGCGTTTGGAATAGCGATAGTGTTCATCTGTTCATTATGTTGAGGAGCTCGAAAAATAATTGTTATGTAAAACAAAGAAATAATATCAGTGATACTCGACCATGAGAGTAAATGAGCTAAAGGAAGTATCGTGATCAGAGATACATAGACCGAGTGCAGCAAGCAATAAGAGGTAAGTCTTTCATTGGTTATAAATAATAACAAGAACACTAAATCATAAAATAATCACAAATACACTACCAACAAACTGACTGGATCTACCAATAAAAAATATCGGTAACATTAATACGATGGTTTAAACAAAGTTAATGCCCAGCAGCCAATGAACACAGATGCCAAATGCCCGTGGTTTCAAGATGGCTAACGATACGATTAATGTTAGTTTCGCGTATAAAATATTAGCTTGAATCAAAGTTGGATCAAAACTTAACCGAAGTCAAGTGATACATCAACAACTTGGTAATGTTGCTGATGCGGAGCGACAGTCGTGCGAACACTTCAATTGGTAGATCTCGAGCGACCGCCAAGCGGTCACTTCGAAACAATCAGCGATTCCACTCAGTAAACGCAACCATTTCAGACGAACGAAATAATGTTTCATATTTCATAATTAAATATTTCATAATTGAATATTTCATAATTTAATATTTCATAATTAAACATTTCATAATTGAAAGGATATAATCTAATTCAGTTTACCACTGATTCTGATCGTTAGTAGTTTAGTCCTCAAACAACAATAGACAAGTTAGAGAGAAAGAAAAAGCAAGAAGTTGATGATTATGAAACATATAGTGAAAAGAGAAGCTCTTCAAGGAACCCACGCCGTTTTATAATAAAATTAGCGGTTATAAAAGCCAGGTTTTAACAGCCATTATTTCATGAAGAAATTTATGTTAAAAGACAGTATTGATACATAAAATGTTCTCGATTAACGGCACATGAAAGTTATCTGGTAGAATAGATGCTCTCAGAAGCAGACAAGCAACTGATAGCGAAACTAGAATAAGTTATGGCTGAGGTTGATGCAAGAAAATGTGCAATCATGGAATTGGAATATTTTTCTCCGTGAATGTAATAATAAATAACGTAACAACTTTTGGTTAGGAGCTACGAACACAAAAGATGTCACTGGAAATTACCAATAAGAGACAATCCTTCTGACCCTTGAATCATTTTTCCTTATAGAGCTGTTTTGCAGTCACTTTCTACATTAGTGACAATGAAGAGTTTAATCTATGCAGAAAACCATTCAACTAATCTCACCGGATTCAGCGCAAGATCTAGCTATAACTAATATGATTAACCACAAGGGCAGGTATCAATATATGCTCCGGCACATTTCATATTAATGACGCTACATTATTAGTATACACTTCATTTTCTCTATATCGCAGTAAATAATATAATTTAGTTGCTGGCTGTGAACAATCTAATTTTCTAGAGTCTTCAGTGCGTAAAAGGCAGTCCATTGAACTGACGTCTTCATTGTTCAATACACAATTCAAATTACATCAGTTTGTGTTAAACAATATAATATCTATTATCTTCAATGCGTTGCTGATCATCTGGCTTGTCGCCGTACGAAGCATAAGGAACTTGACCAGTGGCCATACTACTTTCAAAACTCGCTAAGTGAACGTAAGTACTTAAGCTCCATTTTCTTGTCTATGATTTGTGGATTTTGCTTGAAAGGCCGTCAATGATTGGCTAACGAACTTACGATCTCTTAACTTTTTTTGAAAGTATAGGCCCAGATAAAGTTCTCATTTGTGGACGACAAGATGAGAGAGTTTGTCGGCGGTAGGCGGCGAGTTCTCTCGCTTGCCGTGGACTATAGCAAAGCCGTAGTCCGTCTCCTCGTCATCAGCGTCTGGCAAGAGAGTGGAGAGCTAAGGTAGCAGAGCGCAACGTGACTTCTGTATAACCCTCACTAGGATAACTAATCGCGTTGGATCGATCACCGTACAATGTATGCCAGGACTTCCTGCAGTCAAATTCATAGTATAATAACTATAGTAAAAAATAAAATAAGAGAAATTTTATTTTACCCACCCAATGAAAAATGAGCAGTGGGGTCATTTAATCTTTTGATCAGACTGCGGGAATTGGACAGTGAGTTAGGTGGTCGCTGTGCCTGTGAATATCATTGATCACATTATCATTAATTGAACACCAAGTATGGGTGAAAAATAAAGAGTAGTGCCGTTTGGCACGATTCAGCGCAATTTCAATTGGCAAGTCACTGGCTTTCCTTTAGAGAACAATTAGCAATGAAACTTCAAATATACCGTAATACCAATAGTAAACACACTGGTAGATATTTGCCTGTGCTACAATAACTGAATAAGAGTAAATAGTTTGGGTTGTATCAAAATTAAGGGCATGACGATGAAGTCAGTGGTCGTGCTCAAAATCAAGGGTGGGCCAATCAGGAGTGACTTCAAAATCCAGAAATTCTTAGCAAGTCTGCCTCTAAAATTGAACTAATTACAATTGACATCAAAGATGTAAACAAGCAGCTGAGCAGACAAATTAATGGACATCCATTATTGCACTTCGTTGTGAGGCTATATGCCTTGAAAGGAAACAAACTAAAATTGAATAACATTTTTATTTTTGCGTTATTTATATGCATTTTCAAGACTTTCTCATGAATCATGGCTGAGTAAAAGAGGTTTTACCATAATTGTTATAGAAAAACCTAGACTGTGAAGGTAATTTATGAAGCAACCAACAAGCCACAAAAATATTAATTGTTCTGCAAGCCACCAAGTGTTAAACCATTAACTAATGTAAATATCACCCAAACATATGTAATGTTACCCAGATTAGTGTGTCTTATACACAGCCAAAATCATCCCTCAAGGAACTTGTAATTTGTAAACAAAATATGGCTCATTTTTGGATGGATTACATCATGAAGCTGCAGGACCATCAGAGAGAATAAAGGATATTACTGATTTTTCTTGGAGAGGAAGGAATAAAGTTGGATGCTCATCAAAAAGATCCATTAATTTAACCATACTTTTCTGCATTTTCATTATTTGCAATTCATAAGAAATGTTTTATTAAAATTACATAACAATAAAGGGAAGGATTGACTTGAGCAAAAATCTTTGTAGAAATTTTCCCAAATAAAAAAAGATGCCTTACTTCATTTTTTGAGCTATGATTATTTTTAGATCAAAGTTTATACTTCAAAATGATGATGTTCTGTATCCAAGCTATGCAAAAGCTGAGTAAGAGAATAAAGGAACATAATTCATTTACAACAAAGATGGCTGAGAATAAGTGAACATCAGGACTAAGGTGAGGCAGGCACTTGAAAGAACAACTAGCCACATATAACTATGAAGATAGCCAGCTAGCCTAGCTCAAAAGTTTTCACAATATAAAGTTAATTCTCCTGGAAGAGCATTCTATAAAATTCCTCCAACCAGTATCAATAAATCACCCGGCATACTCACCAATATTAAGAGGACGCTTCTCATCAGAGTGTGCTAGCACATCAGCAGCAACAGAAACCACTGAGAAGAGCTTTGAGAAGCGCATGGATGACACCAACGCCACAGCTAGCATTATGGTGCAGATGGCAAACATGCTCTCTGTGTTACTGATCATTGTCTGGTTGTGTAGCAAGAGCAGTCCACTACATGTCAAGATGTTCATAGGGACTCGGAACCAGTTCATAATCCCGGCTCGGAGTTCTTCAGGGATAACCTTGAAGAAAGATGCAACATCCACACAAATTTGTTAGCTGTACTTCTTCAACAAAAAGCAATTGTCATACATTTTTTTCACTATAAACCAGTCTCTTTGCTTACATCTGTAATGGCTTCATAACAAACTTTGCATTCTTCGTAAAGGCAGCACTATCTTAAGGTTTAAATAATGAGATATAGATTGCATTGAAGATGAGCTTACCTGAGAACGTAGATATCCAATTGAAGGAAAGTACATTCCAACAGAAACTTCCAATAATAAAAATGCTGCATATGTGATGGACTTAAGGCTCGAGTTTCCACTTGTTAGAACACAAATAGCCATAGAAACCATCGCCATAATCACAGCAAGGGTAAGAAGTTTTGCTTCAGAAACTTTTTTGTGCAGAAGAATAGCATAGAGAGACGATCCGACCATGATGCACACCATGAAGGAGGCAAAGACCATGCCTAGTGGTGTATCATTGTGTTCATCCAGAATAGGAGTCCATTGGAAGACAAAGATGTACATGTTTGCTTCAAAAAGTGACTGAACAATACCCAAGTAAAGAATTTCTTCTTTGAAGATAATGGTTCGCAGACCCTCCATGCAAGAATGTCGTAAATTGTTAGCAGTATTGCCATAATTTTCTGGCCAAGTCTTGGCAATGATGATGCCAGATAACAACAAAAAAGGGATAGCAAACATAAATGGGGCAACAGGTCCAAAGTGTAGTGTTTCTGCCACAACATTAGCAAATATTCCAGCATTAATGGCAAGAAGGCCATTCCAAAAGGTTGCTTTTGAAAGAGTTACTGAAATCCACTCAGAAGGGAAGTCATGGGTTTCAGTGTGCTCATACACATACCATGACTCAAATGTTGAGAACAACATTGAAGTTGAAATGCCACCAAAGACACGACCAAGAAACAGCCAAAAGAAACTAGAGCTCAATTTTGTTAAACAACAGAATGAATAGATCAAACAGAAAGCTAATGCCATTTTCTTGCGCCCAAAACGATCAGCTATAGGGCCTGTGGTAGTACCAAAGACTACACTACTAGCAAAGCCAACAACATAGAGAAGAGCAATCTGATTACTAGCATAGCCATAGTGTGAATATAGTTTATAAACATAAGGCCCTTGTAGCCAATCAGAGAATAAAGCCATGAAGTAGACAAGGAAAAAGGAGTACTGGAACTTTTTAAAATGAGGGTTATTTCCTGATGCAATTTGTTGCTGAGTTTTGCTGGCAGTAAATTGTAGAATCAAGGCACCCAAAACTAGCACACAGAAAACAGGATATACCAACATAGTGATAGACATTGTGATAGGAATTAGAAAATTCAAGGCAAGGTTTCAAGTGAAGTATATTGGAGAAGGCAAAAGGAAGCACTCAACACATAATCAAAATTGATAACTATTTTTTTGTTCTTGTTTAGAATTCTTTTGTCTGGAAATGAAGGAATATTCATTAATATTGGTTTAAAATAAGTCACAATAATAACCTATCAACTGTCAGCAGAATGAACAGCTCAACAGTTTAGTTAAGACCTTATTGTATACCTATCTGCTGATGTGGTGGAAAGTGCAGTAGGTTCATCAAACCAGTGATGAAAATTAATTTTTGTCTCCCACAATATTCAAGGACTTAGAAACATGTAACATATGCACAATATCATTATTTGGAGATGATCAGTAAAATAACTCCCAATTAAGAGAATATTTTTACATGTTCTCCAGAAGAATATAAATAATGATAGCTAACTATCAAGCGCAATAAATCAAGGATTCAACTAATGCATTGCATTAAAGGTGGTTTGAATACTTGGCATTTTCTGAGTTTCTGTTTGGACAAGCCTGGTATCTGTGGTCTCCTGTGCAAATCGGACATTTAGTCTTAGCTGTACAATGCACCGTATTGTGGCCAAAGTCCTGACAGTTATAACATTGCCAATGCCCATGGGCAATCTACAAAAAGCCAGACTGGAAAGTGTGGTACCATCAACTGGGGTGACTTCAGCCACACCTACAACAGAAACAAATGGCAGTAAAACAAAATAATGAACGTTGGCCAAAGTGAGTGGTTTACTTTTGCCACCGGGGTGACTTCGGCCAATGTTTATTATTTTGTTTTGCTGCCATTTGTTTCCATTGTAGGTGTGGCCTTTGAAGTCACCCCAGTTGACAGTACCCCACAAAAACTTACTCAGGCAGCTGTTTACCTGCAATGGTCAACTTCATGCACTGAGTGGGGACTTCATTTCTGCCTTTCATGATTCTTCTAACTGATAGCACAGTGGAGTAAGGCTGCTTAACTCCATGAAAATTTCATCCATCTTAGTCTCCAAACCAATAGGTCCAATGACTCCATGGGCAACTGATTACATTTGAGGCTTCCCGCATCTTATAGCCTTATCCCATTATCCCCAATAGCTGTAACTGACAGAAGTTTAATAAATTGGTCTTCACTTAGGGTAAATGCACCATATTCCGACACTGTGGGTAATTTCGACACCCCTCAACTTTTTCTTTTGTATTAAGCTTGGTCTTAGTTTCATGCATGTGTAGATGGTTGAAATAGTGACATCTTATGACCTTATGACGAGTTTTAGGATGTCGTAGTCCACGGTCACGCTGATGCGCCGCCTTCGTCGTCCTCCGTCTCCGAGTCGTCGTCGGGTGTAACGTTGGACGTGTTTCGTCTATTTGCCCTCATTTGGGCACGCTGTTGCAAGATGCTGTTGCATCAAACTATTGCGTGCAAGATTTCCGCAAAACACTAGGTCTAGCAGAAAATGTTAAGATCCACAAAACGAAAGTCCAAGTCAGCCTAGCGAGAACATCAAAACATGTATGAAAGTTGATAGTTGACCTTGCTTACTAAATAGTGACAAACTGTTTGTGTAGAAAGAATATTATGGTTTGAGACCTTTAAATAAGTCTGTGAATATATTAGGAATCCTTTAAGTATACTTGTATTTGCTGATTTTAAGTGGTAAATACATTAATAGATGATTGATTTAAGAGAGGATTTTAGACACGTAAAAACTATTTCCGACATAGGGTGTTGGAATTACAAATTACGATTTTGAAGAGCTGTCGGAATTAGTCTCACAATATGCCACATTTAGTCACACACAGTGTCGGAATTCAGCGATTTTGTAGATTTGAATTCTAAAGGCTTTTAAAAAAATATGGCAACAGTTTGTGACGTTTCATCATTGCTGGCGCATAGTGTGGTGTTTTGAGTGACGTAAACCAATCAGAACTCAAGTTGCACATACGGTGATCTATTTATAGCCATTTATTTCTTGCTACATCCTCAAGGTGTCAGAATATGGTGTGTTTACCCTAGTTCACAGAAAGTTACAATAAAGATATTAATTGATGCTATTTTGTGTTTTCCAAAAGGTGACTTATCTATCTCTCTTGCCATCTTAATATCATTGGAGTTGGAGAAAAAAGCTCTAACTTCCTCAGGGGCACCCACTGGTTCTTTCAACATTGTTTCCAAAGTACTGGGTAGAAAATTAGAAATTCAGCTGAATTCTGGGTCTCAAGCAGTGGAGTAGAGTTTGGCAAGTTTGCACAAACTTGAACTGGTTGTCCTGACTCATGATTTACCAGAATTCAAAAAAATGCGCCGTGCGTCGACAGCGCCGTATTTTTAGAAAGCTAAAATAGTTTAAATATGGACGCGCGGCAATGCAAATTATGTAATCACACTGACCGTACACACAAACGTGTATCCGCACTGTGTTGTGGTTGGATACGAGTTAACTAGATTGCTACCGCGTCAACTCAGGACTCAGGTTCTAAGAGTCAGCACAGTAATGAATATTCATTCATAGATCACAATTCAATCGGACATGAATTACAGAACTAAAGAAGGCAACATGGCTTTGAATGTGCCATCGGTGCCTTCTAATTAATGACTGGACTGGTTGCGGCAAGTAGGGTATGAACCTGTATGTCAACAGTACGATCCTGCATGCCAATGTTGTGACTACATTTACATTACCGACATCCTCCCGGCCGGAAAAATCGACACGATCAATACCTAATAACAATGCGCGTAAATGGACTATACAAATTAGGTCAATATGGCATAATTACAGAGCGTAATTATGCTATGTGATACATAATATGAATATATAAATTTGCAAGATAAGTCAATGGTCTGTCGTTTAGTTTTTGCTTCATTTGAGCAATAATCGTTTCCAAATCTGGGTGCGTTATGTTATGTCATGTGTACTTTGAATGTGCAAAAATTATAACTATCATATGAAAATTGTTATGTAGGTTATTATAGCACGAATCACAATAGAGTATCAAGATTGCAGCTCTGCCACCAGCCTTCATTGAATTATCCCGCCTTTTTTCTAAAATTCAATAATCTCTCTTCCAGCAAAGTTTGCGAAATTCATTAGCTGCATAAAATACTCTCTGCTGTGGTGTTCGAGTTCCGGTTGACATGAAAACTTGCGTTAAACTTGCGGTTCCAAAAATGGCGGGAAAGCTCTAATCGCGCCGCTCTGAAGGCAATTCATATAAATAATAATATAATCCACGCCTACGCTGGAGGAAGTTCAAACTTCAGAGGTGGAACTAAATGCAGTAAATTTGCTGTAAGTCAGAAAATACCAGAAAAATACCAGATTTAGGCATATATATTTCATACCTACTGAAATTATATGATATTAGAGCCGCGATATTTCAGACAAAAATAGGACTTTTCCAGACTAGAGTGTAAGTGTGTTAGCTTTAGCCTTTCTTGTTCAGGCTTGAGACTTTTGTTTTTTAAGAGGCTATTGGCAAAGGGGAATTATCTATCTGGGGCATCTTTCCTTGTGGCTGTGGGGTCTTCTGAAAAGTGAACAGGATATCACAAGTCAAGAAGACTAGAAGAGGGCAGTCAGGGCACTCAGCCTCAGGTTCAGAAGCTCCATCAGATGTTATCATTACTCTTGATGTTTTTTTTCCTTTCCTTTCAGTTTACAAGCTACAACTCCCAATAAGCAATGAAATTAACTATAAAGAAACAAACTAATAATCCTAGTTTCCTACAAATTACCAAAACAAAAAAATGTGATAGCCTATACTTGATACTTCCTTATGGCTTATCTTCTTTCTATTATTCCCCTCCTACTTATGTATCAGCAGTTCAGCACTACAAAAGAATTGAATATTGGAATTGTAAAAAAAAACCTGCTGGCAACTGGCAAGTTGGCAACTATCTTCAGATAGTTACTTACCTACTTGGTTAAGATACGGCGCAGCACCGACGAAGGTATTAGCGCCCTTCTTAAAATCTTAAGTTCTTCAGATAGGTTACTCACCAATTTGCAAAATGACACAGCTCCTCTTACCAACGTTCGTAGTCCGCCAATCCTCAGCTCAGCAGGCTCAACCGACTTTTTGTGCTCAAGCAGCAAGGTCTACTTTCAATTTGATGATGTGGCTTGCTGAAAAACTATAAAGCAAATAAATATTTTGTTTACTTCCTCCCTGGATTTACCCTATAACTAATATTGCTACCCCGTTTCATCCCATTAGATATATATCGAAAAACCTTTACCTCATATAGCTTGATATTCAGGAATATTAGAAAAATTTATATTTATCTTGAGCCAACCTCAAATACTGAAAAGTATTTGTAAATGATATTGAACGAAAAAAATGATGAAAAAAGTGTTGTTCGGAAATGCATCACAAGGTTGCCAAATGTGCCTTTTTCCGGCCAAATTTCGCAAATCGTGCCTTTTTTGAGATGCATTAGATTAGACTGATAAAATTTGTTTGTCCGTTTGGGGCCTGTCAATGCTTTGAATGTGAATGCACGGACGTACAGGTAGAATGAAAGAAGAGGGGATATTTGTTTTATGTGTAAAAGAGGGAAACTGAGGAGCATCTGATGGTGGAGTGTCATGCATATGAGAGAAAGAGACTGGAAATTATGAGAGTGATACTGGACGAGAGGGTGATGGTGTGTTGTATGAGCGATCAGGAGACGAATTAATTGCGACGATAGTGGGTCTGTCAACAGGGGTGACTGCTGCTATGACTGAGAGTGGAAAGCAATATTTGGACAACGCATGGAGAATAGAATAGAAGTGTCGGCATAGAAGAAATAGGCCAATGACCTGTTGCCGATTCTTGTACTTTTCGTGACTTGATTCCCGGCCGTTTGAATAAGATCTTTTCATAACTGACGATTGTTTGAGATAGCTGTTAAATTACAAAGTCCGTATGACGCTAGGCATTTCAAGACTGAACATATGCTCCTGCATAGCTTTGTCTAGTCTGTTCTTGAACGCGTTCATACTTGGAGCGTCAACGATGTCACCATGTGGGAGGGAGCGCAGCCGTGCACCACCAATTTTGTGCACCAATAAGCCCTGAATCGAACGCCTTGGCTCTCCGGACATCCACCAATCAGCCGTGAACCACTAGGCTTTGTCCCCTCCAGCCTTGCATAGAACCT